TCTGCACTCTCTGCACCAGACTGGGGTGACCTGGTTAGGGGGCCTCAATGGTCTGGTGAAGGGGAAAAGTCATGAAAATCATCCGCCAAGCAGCGGAAAAGGAGCAAGACATCCCAGGAAACCCTCGCCAGGAAAACAACATCGCGAAGCAAACAAACAAACAAACAAAAAACATCAACAGAATTTCTTCAAAGATGAAAAATTCTCCCCCCGCGTTCCCGCCCATTCGGAGATATTTTGACCAATGCGAATGGATCGGATGTTCCACCGGTTACCAGGCTTGGACGTCCCAGCCTGGACTTCGCAGCCGTCGCAGCGCGTAAGTCCCCTTCCAGGCGATGCTGTTCATCCAGGGCCTTGGATGCGGCTGGAGCAGGAACCGGCTGCTGTGGATCTACCATCTGGTTATTTAACATAGCCATGGAAAATCCCTGAAATAAATGGAGGTTTCTAGCTGGGAAAATCATCTATTTCTATGGGCCATGTTCCATGGCTATGTTAAATAACCAGAGTGTAGGCAAAACATCAAACACAGAGTCCCTATCAGTCGCATTGCATGCCAGAGCCAGGTCAGGCCCGTACGAGTACATGCGCTTCATTGACTTTTGGGTTGTGCTTATGGGTCCATTTTTCCCTGGTAGTCTGGGTAGTCAACATTGCTGGTAGTCAACATTGCTGGTAGTCTGGGCATTCGTCCCTCCATTTTTCTGGACAATCACGGCTGCCATGATCCATCCAAATGGGTGGTTCTGAAACTGCCATATCAATGGACCAATTCCACAAGGGGAAAATGAACGTGACAACGGGAGATCATAATCAACCACGGGGTTCTAGCGATATTTTATGGGGTTACCCTGACACAAACCCTTCCAGATCTCCTCAGTTCTGTACAAATCTGTACTCCCTGCGAAGCAGCTCCACCTCTCACCACAGAGACACGGGTTTTCTGAACGTTCTTTTTGGGTCATTATATGCTTGATATTTACATACATACATACATACATACATACATACATACATACATACATACATACATACATACATACATACATACATACATACATACATACATACATACAATACAATACATACAATACATACAATACATACAATACATACATTACATACATTACATACATTACATACATTACATACATTACATACATTACATACATTACATACATTACATACATTACATACATTACATACATTACATACATTACATACATTACATACATTACATACATTACATACATTACATCCATACATACATTACATACATTACATACATTACATACATTACATACATTACATACATTACATACATTACATACATTACATACATTACATACATTTCATACATTACATACATTACATACATTACATACATTACATACATTACATACATTACATACATTACATACATTACATACATTACATACATTACATACATTACTACATTACATACATTACATACATTACATACATTACATACATTACATACATTACATACATTACATACATTACATACATTACATACATTACATACATTACATACCTTACATACATTACATACATTACATACATTACATACATTACATACATTACATACATTACATACATTACATACATTACATACATTACATACATACATACAATATATATATACAATATATATATATATACAATACATATACAATATATATATATATACATACATACACATATGCATCAACCAACTGGGGTCCAACTGGGCAGTACTCAAGTTCCAAGGTTGACCTTTAGGTTCGCAGCGCCTGCCGCTCGAGGCCATCTTTGGATGTCTCTTCTCGAAGGGCTTCCTCGCGTGGATTTTGCCGAAGAAATGGGGCTGTCTCAACTCGGTGGAGGGAAGGATGTTGGTTGTAAAAATATGTAAAAATATATGTCATATAGAGAGAGAGAGAGTGTGTGTGTGTGTGTGTCCACGCCTGTCTCTAAGGTTTTCACGTTTTTATTCTGCAGGGGTGGCTGAAAGCCAAAAGAAGCAAGTTCAGCTTGCAGGTAAATCTACAAAGAAGGAAAATGACAAGTTTTCACGTTTTTATTTTGCAGGGGGCGCAAGAACCTTTGGTGCGTCTTGCGCCAACGAAGACACTCACCATTGGTTGTGTAAACGTACATGCAGGCACGCCATGGGCACCGTCGTGTGCAGCTTGGGTGCCAACACAAACATCAATTTTTTAACCCGCTAAGCTTAGCTCACAGACTAAGCGATGCCTTTGCTGCCATTACAAATGGACCACAGACACTAAAGAACAAAATGTCAAACATGACTTCTCAAGTGTGTTCTCGGCGGAGAGATCTGTCACAGTCCCGTCGTGATCCTGGGATTCCAGGCCTTTTGAAAGTTCCTATTTGAAACTAGTATTTGAAACGCCATGTCTATGGCTCAAGAAAATGACATAGCCGGTGCTCCGGCTTGGAGACATTTCATGTGTTAGAACCCTGTTTTCGGACAGGCCTTCCGAAGTTTACTTCATTGCTTTGAGATGAAACCTGCACTTGAAACCTGCATTTGAATTTCGAACTTGCTGAAACATGATCCTTGGATCATATGAAACGACCAAGTTCCTGGATGTGTCTCTGTGTGCCATTTTGGCTCAAGCAAAAGTTCGCTCTGCAGTTTCCTGGCTTCGTGCCTTCGTGTGTGTGTGTGTCCACGCCTGTCTCTAAGGTTTTCACGTTTTTATTCTGCAGGGGTGGCTGAAAGCCAAAAGAAGCAAGTTCAGCTTGCAGATAAATCTACAAAGAAGGAAAATGACAAGTTTTCACGTTTTTATTTTGCAGGGGGCGCAAGAACCTTTGGTGCGTCTTGCGCCAACGAAGACACTCACCATTGGTTGTGTAAACGTACCTGCAGGCACGCCATGGGCACCGTCGTGTGCAGCTTGGGTGCCAACACAAACATCAATTTTTTAACCCGGTAAGCTTAGCTCACAGACTAAGCGATGCCTTTGCTGCCATTACAAATGGACAACAGACACTAAAGAACGAAATGTCAAACATGACTTCTCAAGTGTGTGATTGGTTGATTGATCAATTTCAATCGATTAGATTGATTGATTGATTGCTTGCTTGCTTGCTTGATTGATTGATTGATTGATTGATATCCCGGTTGTTTGCAAGGCAACTGGTGGGAGAACAGCTGTTCTCTAACGTCCTGTCTTAGATGTGCCGCCTGCAAGCGCAAGGCCTGCCGCGCTTCCAAGTTAAAGAAACTGTTCCATCCAAAATATCCAAAAACCGTAATAAAGATCCATCAAGATCATTAAAGATCCATAAATTCCATAAAATGACCTGCAAACAAATTTCGTGAAATTCCTGAAATTCCTCATCCCCAGCCTCCAATTCAGCTTCCTCCTCCGGGGACAACACGTCTGGTCCCCCGTAGTGCCACTGCCAGTGCCTAGGAGTGATTGATCCCTCTCCCATTGGAAGGCTTGGCTGAAAATGAGGTATTCGGTATGAATGATCTGAAAGTGTCACTTTCTCTTGTCCTTTCATCACGAATCGTTACATTCAACCTGTTTGCTGGGATCCGAGACAAAGCTTCCCTTGGAGTGCATAAGTTGATGGTATTTGCTGGGAAAAGCTCTTGACTGGGGTGCAAGCATAGGGTACTCACAGACCAATTGGGTTTGCTACTAGTTTAACCATCCTGTTTAGGAAGCAAATGATTTTGAGCCACAGAGACAGCGGTGTAGTGCCGCACCTGTCATGACCACGACAAGTCACGTAGCACCACTGGGCCGTCCTGCACGAGGCATGCAGGTTCTGGCAGGTTGGTTCATAGGGATTCTCATCCGCAGTATCATATAAAATCATATAGTGCTTAAGTACTTAGATGTATTTAGTATCCCCTACAGCAATCTACAGCATATATCATACAGTATATCAATGTATACTGTATATGTATATATATAATATAATTAACCATCAAGCAACTGGGTTTTGGAGTGTTGCTTGAATCGCCCGCTTTCGTGCAAGTGCCCATCACTGTCCATCCATGTCTCGATTCTCGAAGCTGGGAGATACACGACATTGTCAAGGAAGCAGACACAATTTGCGGGATAACTGCTGCATAATCTGAAAGCAAATGGCAGTGTGTCAAAACCTTGTACCCCTGGTCAACATCAAAATAGCTGGTAAATGGATGTTCATCCCACTAAAAATGGTATTAATAGGTATTGATCCATACCCAAATGAAGAAGGGGGGTGGAATGATGAAGCATCATCGCTTGGCACATGCTTGGTGAATAAAAAAAAAATCATTGCCGCTGAATCGTTTCGTCACAATGTCGACAAAAAGGAACTTCCGCAGTCGCCCAACGTTCGAACCTTAGCAACCTTACTTAATCCATCCAAGTCCACTCATTCGTCATCATGAGAAATGCCGAAATAAATCATCACCCCTGAAATTCATCGCAATAAGATGGTGGTGTTTCATGGTGTTTCAATGTGTTTCACATGTTGCAACAACTTAGTAAAATCTGGCTGGTGTTTTCAACCCCTTAGACACAAAATACATCAACAAAATACTTGAGTTACTTCAACCAGGAAATGTCATGGCATTCATGGCCATTATGGCTGCGGGTAGTTCCCATCTGCCGCAGCCGCTCCTTCGGTCCGGAAGGGCGCCGAGGTCCGTCGATCGTGGATGGGGTAGCCTGAAGGCCGGCGCAGGCCGTAGCCGAGCTCGGAGTCCTGCAATCAACTGGAAAACGTTGGGAAAACACCACGAAAATCTTGGGAAAACCCTGGGAAAACCATCTTGTATAATCTTGTATAATCTTGTATAATCATGATGTATAGATATGTAAAGTATGTTTTGCTCTTCTGTAGTGAGACTGTTCCCAAGTTTCACGTGTTGGACTGATCAGCTTCGAAAATCCAGCACCTTGAAAGTCATGGACTGCCATGGCGCCCAGCGGGTCCTGCCACATCTCCGGCTGCAACAGCTATGCGCCCGTAAAAGGCGTGCCGTGAAGGAATGAAATTTCTACTACAAGGGACTTGCTTGTGGAAAAAGTTGGGAAAGATATGATCCTTTTTCGACTGTCATGCTAGGCAACAACTTTTTCGGATATCCAAGCACCATTTTCCTTGCATATTCATGTGCTTGATCTGTCACCTGTAGTTCAAACTGTTTGCCTCAAGCATTCCAAGATCTTCTTGAGCCAAGCTATGGCTGAAACACGCCAAGTTTCCAACTCCTCCAGCTGCGAAATGACAATTGCGCGTCAGAATTGATATCAGCTAACCCATTCTAAGCTGCATTTCCCCTGGTCACTATTTAGCTTTGTCTAAAAATGCTATACCCCCCAAATCCCTATGGGATATAATGAGACTTCATTCAACATGCTCATCCATGTTGCATCATTGGCCCCGTAAATTCGTGGCCATATCTGTGATCAAACCCAGCTGTCGTATCCAGGTCATCCCGCGAATGGATGGCGTGGTCAAGGAACTCAGCTTCCTGGCGGATTCAACGGAAATCCACATCTTCCATGAAGAAAGGGATCCAAGTTGATGATCAAAGTTGATGATCAATGATGAACCAACATGTTGAGGGCTTTTCCATGGATTTCAAATGAAGTCAATGGATTTCAATGATGATCAAATAGCAATAAAATGGATTTCATTGACAACAACATCTGTCATTCAAACATCAAGCCCTTGATCACGATGGCGATGGCGATGACCATGACGATGAGGACGATGAGGACGATGAGGACGATGAGGACGATGATGACGATGATGACGATGACGACGATGACGACGATGACGATGACGATGACGATGACGATGACGACGACGATGATGATGATGATGATGATCAAACATCTTCATGGGTGTTCAATGGATTTCAATGGATCAATAAGGACACAAGGGGACCGGCCAAGCAACCAAAATGATTGAACATGTTTGAAAACGCTTCAAAAAGATCTTCAAGCTGCTCCGCTGTAGTGACTGGACTTCTTCCCATACATGCAGCTGGGTCACTCAAAGAAGAGCTGCGCCCGTGAGAAGTCTCCCACCTCGAAATGGTCTCTGGAAAACCAATTTGGGTCCGCAATTCTTCGGCAATATATGAGCAAAAACACTTAGAAACATAAAAAAAACCGGCCTTTCTTCCTATAGTATCCCCTTTCTGCTGGCATTGTTGTTCCTGTAGATTTGGAAGCCCTCAGCTTGCTCTAACATGCACGCCTCGGCAGCAAAGCGGATGAGGCAACTGTATGTAATGGCTGTAGTTTCCAGGCCATCCTCCACCAGCCGGTCATAGATACCTTGCCGTTGGGCCGTTGGGTGTGCGAACGGTCAAATCGCTATAGAAGACTCCGGCTCAAGGCGTCCTTTCGGATGATTAATTTAAATCTGTTCAATTCTGTGCAGTTCCAGCAACTTCAACTCAAATACAGGAAATCCAGATTCATCAGCTCAAAGCTCTCTCTCTCTCTCGCTCTTGCCCTTCCCCTATATTTTCACATAATTGTCTGCCAATGCACTCTGCCTATGCATGACTTTGCACGCACTGGCCCCAGATGAATATACAACCCGACCCAGCTGGTTTCCCCACGAAGCGCCATGCGGAACTGTTTCTGCACTGCCAATTGCTTCATGACCTCATTTGCCAGAGAAAATGCTCAAAATCCTCCGTCAAAATGTGGGTTTTCAAAAAAAAAAAGGAATATATAAGATATCCCCAAAGGTGCCATTAAAACACGATGCACGTATGGAATTGAAAGTGCCCTGCGCTTTAAAACTCTGACATACCCTGCAAACCTAAGAATTCCACGCTTTCATAGAAGGCCAGTGAACGAGGTACCTGTCCCCGACATGGGGTGAATCAGCATCTAATGGTGCACCTGTGAAACTGGCTCTACCGATGGCTCAATTTATGCTACGTTTGTCAGCTGTCAGTTGGGTTGATGATGGGAACTTGTGTTGAGATCGCCAAGGAGTTGTTTGCCGGTATCAATTGTATCACCTTTCTTGCTGTTGACATCTGTTGAGCCTATCTTCTGGCAGCATCTGCTACAAGTCTAACAAGCCACGCCTGGTGCCCGACCATGTCGTCAATGATGGAATCCAGACTCTGGTGCTTCCCAGTCTAGGCCCGAAAGCCAACAGGGTCAGTGAAACCCAAAATAGCTGGGATTCATGGATGTTCACAGATGCCAATAAGCCTAACAATCTGAGTTGGCAAGTCCAAGGAAAAAAGAAATCCATGTGTTGTATATCCAACATCCAAGTGCTTGACCCGAATCACCAACTGCGCTAGGCCAGTGTAGAGATCATTCGCAGTCTGCCTGGCTTTTGTCTTACAATGTACATTCATCTGTGGCAAAAACACAACTCTCCCGATTTGAGTATGCAGCAGAAAACACTCCCACTGGATGAAGCGGCTTGAAATTTGTGTAAACATTTCTCCACCCTGGCTGCAAATCACTGGCCAAGTGCATTCCCCCCAGTTTGCCCATGTGCCAAGGTAAGGACCCGCCGGCCACTTCCAGCAATGTTTGTCCCCTAGGCCGCGACACGCTGAGATGCGACGCCGGAACTCGTGGGACTGGTCTTCGACGCGACGCGGGACTGGGGGCCCCTGCGATTTCTCCAAGAGATGTCCCAGCTCCGCGTAGAGACCAAGGATCCTACAACTTCACATGGAGTTGGATCCACGGTTGAGCGATGGAATCAACAGAACACCCTTTTTTCGCGAGAGAAGACTGTAGGTCACTGTAGCTTGGAGATTGAATCATCCAAATTCATCCAAATTCATCAACCAATATCAGACATGATTTAGTCGACATACACTTTTCGTAATTAGGAATTAGCATTCGCTATTAAACAACGGCTTTTCGTGATGTAGACAATACACTGATCAGACATGTTCTCAAAATATCACAAGAAATGGTCATAAAAGAATATAAAAGATATTAATATAGATTATTAGATGATCATTCATCATTCAAAAATATTCAAAAGGTCCAAAAGGTCTAACAATGGAGACCTACTGCCACATTTTAAGCGGTCTTCGAAGGTCGGCCAGCACTTTGTTCGTGGAAGCTCTGCATGACCTCCCAGGCTTAGTGAAATTGCCAACATGGAAGGGGAAAATGATCATAAGGGTTAGTGTGAAAATAAGGTATATACCCAAAAATCCAGTGATTCATCATTATCCCTACTAGATCTACTAGAATTGCCATGAATGGGTATGCACCGTTTTCGGACACACCCGCAAACACAGAGAATACGATGAGATTTTGGGGTACCCTACAGTTGCCGACATACTATTCGATGATTCACCAGTTGATCTGAGGTGTCCCCCAATTGAAAATGGCCCATCTGGGCAAATACTGAAGAGATCTGAAACGCACCTCCCGCAGCACGTCAGCAGGCCTAGGTGGCAGGACTCCACACCCTGCTGATCTCATTCTCTCTGCATGCTCTCTGCATCCATTGAGGCGCCCGGCTCAGTGTTCTGTCCTTGAGTGCCCTTGTGTTCTGGGTTTCGCCTGCCCAAACTGCGACATCAGAGCAGCCGGGCGCATGCGGCTCTAGGGGGTGAACCCGGTGAACCCCTGAAAGAGCAGGGGTTCAATGTGTTGAATCGTCCACAAGGGAAATGTCAAATCAAAGTGGGTCGAATCCCGGATTCCATGGATTCCCACAAAAGACTTAGCTTCCCAGATGCAGAAACCATGGCTTTCCGCGGCCTGAATCCCGTGCTTTTGGGCAAGTCTGTCGATGCCTGGCGATTCTGTGGACCCGTGTGACTAGAAACTGGGACCAACCATCTTCAGTCTTAAACGTATTAGGGAAAAAAAACTCATTGAATCGAATTACTCGAAACGAAAATAATGTTACCCACAACACATACCATCCACTTAACTCTCGATTTTTTGTGGAAAATCATGGGAAGCTCGCATCCCCCAAGCCGCGCCGACTGGCAGCCTTGTGTTGTGGCGAGACCACCTTGCGGCCTGAGCTGGAGAATCGAGCAGGGGGCGGCATTTACGTCAGATTGTTACACGCAACATGGAGCTTACCATACAATTTACTGTGAAGATAAGATTCTCATCATATAGATACATCTACATATACATATAATATGTATGTATATATATATTATAAACCATTCATATCCATTCATTCATAATAATTAAAATGGTTGTACAATATTATACAATGTTGTACAGCTCAAAAGATTAGTCACTTGGTCCCACTGCAGATGTAGCATGCAACCATCGGCCTGGCACAGTTCCCTTAGGAGAGAAGCTGCGGACCAAAAAGGCGCAGCACAGCGTCACTACCTGGCCGTCTTCTGGTTGTCTTCTAAAAGTCTGTGGCTGGTCATAGATGTCACTTAGAAATTCATAGAATCTGGCGTTCAGAATATGAAGAATTGCGGATGATGTTTTCCGAAAATCGCTGAATATGCTGGTGTGTGTGCATTTCTTGATATTCATGGAAAAATGCGTAGATGATTTCCCAAGGACCTGTGTGAAAGATGGTGTTTCGTATCAAATATCAAATCAAATCCATGTAAATCACAGTAAATCCAATAACTTTAATAACAGGGTCCTGCCACTATGCTTGCATTGCTGGAGGATACTGAGGACAACATCAGAGGATACTGGATTGATCTTCCACTGGATGTCAGTGGATGGAACTTTGTGATTTTCGAAACTGAAAATCAAGGACCTCCCCATCCAAACGTTGAAATTTTGGGAGCCTTTCCAAAGAGATATCCTTCTTATGAGTTTTTATGAGATCTCAAATGTGTGTACCACTGCTGGACTGTTAAGAGCACACATTTGGAGTCCAGTCTGGTCTGTCCATTCTCCAGTTTCAATTGGTGTGGGCCTTGGGCCCATCCGTGGAAAAAAAAATGAGACTGTCTCAAAAGTTGTCAGCAGCGCGAAGATCACGACTTCCAGGCCAATAGACCTGTGGCCCATTTGGAAGTGCGACCCAAATCCAAATCATCTGGTCTATGTATAGATTTATTTGAACATGTTAATTATAGTATCATGATTATATATGATATGTACAGATCTTGATATCAGTATATTGTGCATGTCTTGTTGTAGACGTATTGCATATATATATATAGACATACATACATTATTTTGAATATGTAGCAGTGAAACCAGTGGCTGTTCCTGCCTCCACAAGTCCTCAAGGAACTCCATCTGCTGTACAGATAGCATTCTTTAGCACGTCTCAGTGCAGCGTCGTGAGTGTTCATCCACTTCCCGTGACCAGCTGGACCCCATGTTTTCTGGTCAACAATTCACGTCCCATCTAAATTGGATTTTTCAAACCTCTGTGGCAAGTCTAATCAAGCTGCTTAGACAAGACTCAGAATGTGAAACAGAGAATTGACGGTTTGTGCTTCGATCGCTGGCTCTCTCTCTCTCTCAAGTCAAGAGGTAACCAGTTCACGAAACATGTTTCTTTAGGAGATGTCTGGAACAGCTGAGAATGCAGCAAGGTCTGGATAAAACACTTGATCAGGGGTAATCCCGCCTGACAGTTGCCACAAAATGCATACATGTTTTTAAAGCAAAATCGGTCTGCCTTCCCAATTTTTGTCATATTCCATACCTGCATAAATTCAAGAATATTCAATGTTGAGAAAACACATTTCCCAAAATCCATCAAGGCACGTTCCATTTTAGCACGGGGGCATGCTGGGCCCTTCTCCAAATTTCTCGACAAATGTGTTGACGCATCCAGCCTGAGGGTGGGCGGCGATCGTGGTAGTATAACGCGGCGCGCCAGCTGGCTGCGCCAAGCGACGTAAGAGACGTGATTGGGCTGAGAGCCAAAGGAGCCAAAGGTCCAGCGTCCAGGGATCTGCATTTGTCGCTGTGGCGATGATCTCCAACAAGATTCCCAAATCAGTGATTTTAGACAGCGACGACATGAAAGTTTCATCTGCCAAATACATACCCGAAAACTACTGCCTATGGACCCTGAGGCTTCATTTTAGACCCCCAAACCCCTGGTCTAAAATGAAAGTCCCTGAACCATTTAGCAAAATAACTTGTACCCTTCTAGATCCGTACTTTGCTTTCAGTATCCTCTTGTTTGCCTCGTTCAGGGATTTGGGTTCTCAAAGGGTCCATATGTTCATTGCCTCGATTTTTTGCATTGGCATTGCCCTGATCAATCATGTGTTTAATCTGTTTCGTACTTTCGTTACTAGTCTGGATTCAACAATCTACTACTTTCATGTTCTAATTCAAGGTTATTGCTAAAGAAGTCCCTAGCTTCTTGGCCATTACTTCGTCGATACGCGTTCATATCAATGTCTTACATTTCGTTGACTCAAAGATTTTGTCTGTAGATGTGATGTTTTCCTTACCACATCTACAGATGTTTAGATTTCTGGGATGTTTTCTCTTCCATTTTCTTGCTACCATCCTGAGGTTTGGCTGCATTTTCTCTTCCATTCTCTTGCATCTCCGTGCATCAAAGTTCACACACTCCCTTGTTTCATCGCCATGTTTTCTGCATCTCTCGGTCAATCATGTCTATTTCAAGCGGTTTTGGAAATTACCATTTTGAGCATGTCTCTTTGAGATGATCCCTAGATCCACAGAAACTCAAACGGATTTTTCCCCACCAATCTCTAGCGTCTCTAGACTGACTGGGTTCCCGGATGTTCCCGGTATGTCAGGTACTTCTCCTTCCTTCCGAAGGCCTCCGAGTCATCATGTGGTCATCGAGTCGTCATGTCACTGCTGACCATGTCAGCGCAAGTGTCAGAATAAATGCCAGGCGCCATGCAGCAGAATACATGTCAAACTGTCAAAGAAGTTCAAACAAAATGTCAGAATAATGTCAAAAAACATATCAGGATATGTGTCACAAAATGTGTCAGGAGATATGTCAATATGTCAGAAATGTCAGGAATGTCTGAAAATCTGAAACTCCAAAATCCCATTGTTTTATCATCTTCCTCATGAGATACCCCAATTTCAAGGAGCTCTTCCAGTTTCCCACCTTTTCACGCGCGGTCCTTGCCGGTTTGAAAACCTGTGAGACACTGTGCAGCCTTACGAATTCCTTGCAGGATCTCTGTCACTGTCGCGGAAAAAATCACTCATCACGTGCAATTGACACCAACTGATGGAGCGTGTATGATATACATATTATATACATATTATATATATATAATTATACTATATATTATATATAATATATATAATATATATATATATATACATAATTATATAATATATAAACCAATCCTTCCGATCGACTTCAAGCGCCCGTGGATTTGTTGGGGAACTGGCTTTTTTCAAGCAGAGATATCTTTCAATCAGGTCTGGAGCTCTCCAAAGTGACAGCTGCAGCATTTGGAGGCCAGGTGCTCACAAAAGCCCTCGTGACTTCTGCAAGTATTGCGGATATAAGAAGACCTGTGCTGCCAAAAATAAGCTGTTCGCGGGATCATGGAAGTTGGGTATCAAGTTTGGATCGATGACTTCGAAAATGTGGTTTCTTGATCCTGCTGCAACCCCTAGAGGTTTATTGGATTTATTAGTGCAGTATTTGAGAAACCAGGACTAGTTGGTCACATGTCAATTGTACACCCCTTGAAATCTCTGGTGCCGTTTGAATGCCCACCCTGGATTTGGACTCAGCAGAATGGGTGTGTTTGTACTACGAGCCACTTTGTGTTCTAGCAATGTCAAGCTACTGAATTAAGGAGGCCGGGTGACCCCAGCTTTCCATAAGACTGGCCACGTGCCAGTAGGAGTTGCTGAGGCACGGACCGCATCGGCAACAGACAGCGTCTCTTGCGATGCAGGCACTTCCTTGAATTCCTCGCAAGCAAAGGCTCGAAAAGCATGGCGTTGGGGGAATCAGTTTGGGGATGTTCCAACATTGCAGAGTCCATATTACAGCATGTCAACGCATGTCATCGCTCTGAGTCTGAGGAGACAAATGAAAGTCTTGAAGACAGGATCACCCGACAGTTCGTTGCAGGATCCAGGGCGCAGTCCTTGCCACCAGAATCGTATCTGAGGCACTGAGTAACCATCCTTTCTTCCAAGGACCTAGCATGGTTCGTCACGAATAGCAATCTGGATCAAACAACCACAAAGTAGACAGTGAGACTCTCATCAAGGCAGCCAACCAACACTGAAAAATCGGGCAATGACAACACCTTCAACATCCTTCAACCTTCGATTTCGGTGTACACAGGTTTTTGTTTGTCATGGTTAATATCATAATTTTCCTATTAAAACATATTAAAACTGCTACATTTGGGGCTCAACTTGCTCAACCCCCATGTTGCGCCCAAAAAAAGACAGGTCGACGCTGGAGAGGGCAGCAGCTGCAGCAGTCGTGTCCACGTGCCCTGATTGGCTTTGGGGGTTCTTAAGTCATGGGGGATCCCCAAGTCAACATGGTTGTTTCAATACTAAGCCATGGAGTCTAATGACTTGGAATACTTGAATGAGTTGGGCTATTTTGAGTCAGATTCTGACAGCTATTCTGAGACCTGGATTCACATCAGTTAACTGACACATACTCTGAATGAGTCGTAAAAAAAAGTGGTTGAAACCAAGTCAACATGCCTTGAATCATAACCCCAAAACACCCACCTCCGAGAAGCCATACAAAGCACGCAAGTCGTGCCGACCTGCCAGCTGTAAAAATTGGGATGTGTACCAAACATACTCAACAAACAAGCCAACAGTCTGTTTCTGATTGTAAAATCTCAAGAAAATCATAGAAATTCAACTATATTCAACTTCCTCGGGCTGATGATCTGATAGCTGCAAGGTAAGTTTTTCGGTCCCCCTGCCAGTGTGGATGCTCCGGAAGAGGAGGATGAAGCGTTCATACCTCGGCAGCCAGTTTTCCTTATGAGCAGTGGCTGCCTTCATGCCTGTTGGAAAATTGTTTTTTTAAGGGGTTATGATGCTACCCAACGTATTTCTTGGCAGGTCACTCCACCAACTCCTCATCAAAGGACTTCAGCACTTGCTCTCGCTGTTCACGATTTGCGTCGCCCTGCAGTCACCACGGGGACATGCTGGGTGAAGGGAACACACCAATCTCTGTTTGCAAGTGAAAATCACCTTCCCCAACCCGAGCTGTAGATGTCCAGGAGCTAAGTAAAGTAGCCACTAGTTTGACGAATCAAGACATGCTAAAGCTCCCCAACCTTTGTTTCGAGATGTTTCGAGATGGTTCAAGTCTCAAATTCAAATCGGAAATTCGGGTCTTTACAATGATTACAATGTACACAGCCCAAACTTTCGTTTCAGATCGCACCTTGAGGCAATGCTCCAGGGCGTTTCGCACCAGCTTCCGGTTCGATTGCATCCCAACGCTGCCGGGGCGTCGCCCCATCAGAGACGAACTTCGTCGCGGTTCCACCGCGTGCGGCACCGCCTGGGAGGGCGGCTGTGGATCCAACCGCAATGCCAACGGTACTTTAACTGGGATAACAAGCTGAGGTGGCAACAAACTCAGATTTGGCTGATAAATTGAAGTTGCAACAAATTGCTAATGGGTACAATATGTTACAATGCACTTCAGGGAAGCAATATGCTGTGTCACGTGCGCCTTATGGGCGCTGTGTCGCCGCCTCAGTTGTTGGGTTGAAAACAAGACATGTTTGAAAAAATAAGGAAAAGATAGGCATACTTATCATACTTTCTGTGACATCTCTCAAAGAACGCCCAATACTTATTCAACATGCTTGAAACGTTCTGAGTGTTCCGACCGCACTGGTGTACCAGCTTTCTGACCACGGCAAATCCTCATTGACAGCACAAAAGGGAGGAAAAACAGTTGCTTCAAAGAACACAAGATATCCAGCAACTTGTAATCTACAAGTGCCCCCAAAAGCATTGCAAGACATCTTTGCAGGTTCTTGACTGTGCATCAACCTGTGAGCATCTGGCAACTTGTCATTCTCCTCAGTTGTCCCCGCAGGCGTTGCCTCATTGCGACATTCTCCACCATTAATCCTGCTGTGATTCCCTCATAAACCGACTATAGAAACCGAAAAAAAAAACGTTGGAAAGGCAAAAAGCCAATAAAAACCCACTAGAATAATTCCAGCTTCGATCTTTTTTGGACTTACTTTTCCCAGTATCATCGGTGAACCATCGATCTGCCGAGCTGAGGATCCTTGCAGCTCGCACAGCCTTGGGGGGCCTGCAAAAACCGAGACCACCTTCTCCAGGCGAAATGACGCAACATCCATGGAAACCCATAGAATTTACTGGTAAAAGTTGCCGTCTCCCGTAAATTTTCCACATGAACATACATGAACCCATCTGATGATTGGACATTTCCAATCCTCCTCCCCTGTTTCTTCCATTTGGTGCGATCTCGCCTTCTGCCACTCAAAGGCGGCTCGGCAGAAGCACCTGCGGCCGGCATCGTTTCACTTGGTTGGTTTTTTGGATGGGATTAGCATACATTGAGTCGCACGAATCCCCATTAAGCATCACTAAACATCATCAATCATCATTACAGGTGCTATAGTCTAGAGAAATGTCTAGAGTCTAGAGCATAAATTATAACAATGGATTCTGGCTGGTTGATAGGAATGATAGGGATTTATTGGATAGCCTTGTGGCCCAGGTGGGCCTCACATTTCCCAATCTCCACCGATACCGTCTCCACCCCATTTCCATCCAGGGCTGTCTGGCCTGAAGGCGGTCTCGCGCTCACCTCACAAGCGGTTTGCCATGCGAGTCTTGAAACATCTTGAAACATCTTGAAACCATATTTCTATGGATGGTCTCATTTTGGGTCATCAGATTTTCGAAACGATTCATGCTACCCTCTGGTAAATTAACATAGCTATTGAAAATGGCCCAGTCGAAATAGTTGATTTACCATGATTTACCCATTTGGCCCAGTCGAAATAGTTGATTTACCCATATTTACCCATTAAAAATGGTGGATCTTTCCATATAGTTCTGTAAACGTTTACCAGGCCGGGTATGTTCCATCGCTTGCGCGTAGCATTTTTCCGGGAGTCCAACGGGTGAATCAATCACCACCTCCACGCCACCACGGCGCCGCAGCCCTGGCAATTGATGTGGAGCGATGTCTGTTGAATATTCACATGTTGTTGCAGGAAAATTCACCAGTTATAGAGATCTTGTCCTATTGAAACCTCCATTTTTAGACAAGGGTACCACTAAAAACCTCCATGTCTTAGATATTTTTCCTATTAAGACGCCATTTATAAACAATTTTCCCAGGAAATCTATGAAGATCTTCGGCAACTCTCATCTGCAAGCGCCTGTCACAGCTTCGTCCTGGCAGCGGAGGTTTAAATGGGAACATACTGGGATTATAAGAGGGATCAAAAAGGGATTTAGAAATTGGGATCTACGATTTTTCTAAGATTTGTTTACAAAGGGCTTTACCATCCATTGGGGAATTATCTCGCCTCATGACATTCAGGATAATTTCGAGTCCTTACATATACAGTAGTCATCCCCCAAGATGAATGACAGAACAGTAAATCGCCATTGAAAAAAATATGTCATCTTACAAGTCCTCCAAATCATGATGAATCTGACCAAAACAATGCAATAATTCACGAACCTCAAGGGCAAATGTTGCATAATTGTGGGGTGTTTCCCTATACTAACCATCAAGTTTCCATCAATCTCCATATACTAACAATATTACTCACCATATGCTAACCACATACTAACCTCAATTGCAGGTAGATCCAGTCCAGCGCGGCCCACCTCGGCTGTAAGCACCGGTGGGGCCGGAGCTGCTGGCGTGGCTGGCTTTTCAGCCGCAGCTGCCTCCGGCGCTCCGCAGTGCTTCCAGGTAGATTTATGGAGAAAAAATCAACCATATATTAGATATTATACCTGATATATTATATCTAGTATATCTATTATATAATATTATATAATACATACATATGTTATATATATATACATATGTTATATCTATAATAGGTGCATTATTTATATATATACAGTATATACACATTGCTCAAGCCATGTTGAACTTTTGATTTGAGGCGTGGCACCTGGTAGCCGCTCAACGATGGCACGGCCGAGTTGGCGGGGCTTTGTTCCTCCTGAGACTCCTGAGGCGGACGCATCCCAGGAATCCCCAGGAATCCCGAGAGTTCTGTGTCAATAATTATAACCTGGGATAATTATCATTTAATAATGGGATTCAATAATGGGATAATTATAACCTATAATCAATGGATTGGTTTAAGGGAAAATTTACAGGAAATCATGGTGTTTACTGTTTTTACCATGAAGATCATGGGGTTTTTACCATGAAATTTTCCCCTAAACCAATCCATTGATATAACCAATCATGAAATAATCTGAATGAATTCTCTGGTTCTACATTATTGAGTTTAAAAGAATCTGATGAGAATCATAATGACAATAAAAATAATCATAATGATGATAAAACTAATGTTAGTAATGAAATATAATGATGATAATAATAGTAAATAGTAGTAATAAGTCAGTGAATCGTGAATCTCATGTCATGAATGATTCTTTAAATCATTTTGCCATCTCACCAGCATCAGAATACCAGTAACCCCAGTGATTCATCCCTGTCCTGGCAACCGCGGCCTTGCTCACGGCCTTCCAAAAGAACTGTCTCCTGCCGCAGCCACGCTGCGGCCCATGGTGTCTTGGCACGATGAAGCAGTTCATGAACTTAGGATATGTATAGTCATACTATGTCATAATATGTCATACTATGTCATAATATGTCATGATATGCCATACTGTGTCATACTATGTCATAATTGATTAATCATATATAGTCATAGTCATAATCATAGTCATAGAATCACTGTCATACTGCTAGTTGGTTGGCGTTTGGTGATTTTCAACAGCACCGTCACCAAGTTTGGCTGGTCGCAGCTTAGCTCCTGCAGGTGCTGTGTGCCTGGACATGGTTGACAAGATCTGCGAGCAACAAAACGGGACATTTCCCTCAAACCCCTGGTGAGATTTATTGCAATATATAGCATTTTAAAAAAACATCGAAAAGTAAAATCCTACTAAAATATTATAATTATGATATAGATGTTACGAGTACTTTTCTATCCTAATCTCCATATTTCTATAGTAAGCTCCAAAACTCTGGTGACATCAGGGCCTTCTTCACATCGATCCGTTGGCACCTCGTTACGGTCCTCGTAACATGGTGATGCGATGGCGTTGGCTTGGTTCCCCCCAAGCCCTCCAAAATGATGGGAAAATGATGGGAAAATGAACAGTGGCCCCGGGCGCCCCTGGATTTGACTGAGGATGATGATGTTTGAATGTTTGATGATATTTTGGATGACGTGGAGGGGATACTCAGTCCTGCGCACCGCAGCTCAGTGGGTTCTGATCCTCCACAGTTTCACCTAAGGAGCAGCTTGGAAACAAACATGCCCAGGCATTTCTAACAAGATTTAATAAGAGGTACAGGTGGCCAATCTTCGAGCAATGGCATGTAAGCACCAGACTCACGGCCAGTTTTACCAACCTTCCACCCTGTCCCTAAAACTGCTGGACCGCACCTTGCAACTTGTCAATGGATCGTGAAAATTCAGCCTCATCCAGCATCGAGCTGCGACTGTTCCAACAGAACTTCCACAGCTTCTGGAAAAGTCACCAAGGAAACATCCGCAAAATCTTCAGCACAGCAACCCTCTGGGCAAACTCCTAGAATTTTTAGAGCTGATAAATAAGCACACAAAATTGCGATGGTTTCCATGTCTCATTTGTGAGGCTTGGAGGGGCCAGTGAGCCCCACCTCTGGCACCACAGCTGGAGACTCCCATGCAGCGACCGCCTCGCCAGCCCCATTGGCCTCGGCTCCTGTGAGCACCACGGGCAGCACCGCAGCACATTGGATGTGTCCCCGGTGTCCCCTGGCTCCGATCCCCCACCTCCTGGTGTGACCTGGACAGAGTCAAGCGGAATGGTCTCGGTCGCAAGCCTCAAAACTTCGGAGCTGCAGTCAGCTGCTTGATGGACTGGAAAATTCCCGGTTGACATGGTTACCCGGTTACCAGAAATGTTCTGTGGCCTCTCCAAAGTTTACCGTGGCTCCATGATTTCCGTTGATTTCCAGGGAAATAGAAAGTTCAGGACCGCACTGCAACGGAAAAATTGATGGTGTTCTATCCCTATTAATCAGCGCAGCTCCATAGTACTCAAATCCCCACGGCTTTCAAAGAGTTCAGAATCTGGATGTATTTGACCTGGTCAGCACTCTGCTTCCTGCCCCAAATAGATGTTTCCCCGAAAACCGGAGACCCACGATACCCCCAGTTTCAACGGATTATCACCATGTTTCCCAGCAAAAAAAAAGAAACACGGATGGTGGGCCGCCCCACGATGTCCTCATGGACCCAGGTAGCGATGTGACAGATTCCAAGACTGCCAACTCCTCGTCCAGCTGTGTTGGCACCTTCAGATGAAATTGGGTTGAATTGAGCTTGGATTTTGCATGGTATTACAGGATATAACCCACCAAGACATGCATGGATATGGCTGGATATGGGATGGGTTTGGACAGAAAAACAACGTGCGTCTCACACTTCAGGGCTGAATCCACTCTGTTTTCTGAAGCGAGATTGTCTTCCTCTCCGCTGAAGGTTCAAAGGGGCGGAACAGTGACACTACCAAGTGTATAATATGTTTGTATATGTATATATATTATATGTAAATGTAATATCGAATCATCTAATCATCTAATCACACCTACTGGTAGGATTTCTGTTTGACATAGATATAGATATCAAAGGGATACCAACATACAGGTCCATCATGGCCTCCTTCGACACCTCCTTCTCCGCCGTTGCCGGAGCGGGCAATGGCGGCGCTGCCGGCGCTGCCGGCAGATCAAGGCCCTCCAAAAAGGCAGGACACTGAAAGCCAAGCGGTCCGGGTGTCCAGGGGTCCGCAAATACACAGCAAAACTCCAAGGTCTGCAAGGATTGTGGGTACAGCATAAGGTCAATATCAGATCAATTCAGTATGGCTCAATTGCTGAAGATTTGATCTTTTCGTTTGCTGTGTCAAATAAACCAGCAGAACATCTATCCAGTATAAAGCAACTGTGACATTCCTGCTGATCTGACTATCTACATATCCCATAACTCCCCTTTCTCAATCCATATGGGTCAAAAATTCAGACGGAGCTGGTCAGAATGGGTCTGTTTAAACTATTCACTATCAGCCATTCACTAACTATTCAGATCTAGATTTATGAACTATTAAGATCCACTAACATCTACTACCTATATCGCCTATATCTATATGGAGGTTTCCTAAAATGGGGGTACCCCCAAATCATCATCCATTTTAATAAAATCGTTTCCATTAAATAAAGTTTAGACATTTTGGGGTACCCCCCATTTTACATGGGTCATTAAATGTCCCCATTGAACATCACCCAACCATTAGGTATCTGGTCAACTAGATGGCTACTTTTTCAGGTGATGTCCAATATTCCCAAAATGGAACATCCACAGGTGATTGGGTGAATAACACCTAAAATGGAACACCTAAAATGGAACATTCCCAAAATGTCCAACCAACCGCCATTTTAGGAAACCTCCACAGGTGATGTGAAACCACCCCTTAAGGGGCTCCTCCTCACGCCGCAGGGTCCGCAGCTCCGTGGCAATCGCACCGGACGCCCCAAGGCCTGATGGGATCCGACGGGGACGTCCCAGTTGGATGGGGCCTCCAGTGGAGGTAAGTCATCATTGGATTCCCAGTAAAGAAAATATATGGGGATGGGTCAAAACCCTGGTACCTAGTGAACCCCAAAATAGCTGGTAAATGGATGTTCATCCCACTAAAAATGTATCTATAGGTATTGATCCATACCCATGTAATAAATTGTAATGCATAGATGATAATAGATGTGATAGATGTAACAAATGTTTAAAACAAAAATATGACAATAGACTCATAATAGATGTAATAGATGTAAAAAAAAATGAATATGACATAAGAAAATTGATGTACGAAGAAAATCACCATGTGCGGCAAATCATCTATTGGTGATGTCCACAGAAGGTAGTCTTTAGCACTCGCCTGACAATGACTCGTTCTCAGATGGATTTTTGCGAATCATTGGCGAATCAGTCAGCGGCGATATAGCATCGTACTCATTGGCTCCAAATTCTCTTCAGCACCCGAGGAACTTGTAATCGACATGAAAATGTTGAGACATCTTGACTCAAATTCCGTTGTGGATATAATATAGAGATATATATATATTATATTATTATCTATGAATCTATGTATTTCCTCTCCCAAATATGTTTCTCAACCTCCACACCCTGCAGCTTTTCACGGGACGTGTTTCTCCGTCTCGCCAGCAGGTGGCCACTTCTACACCAGTCATTCGACATCTGTCTGCAGCATCATGCAACTGCCTCACCAGGCAGATCGGGTAGAAAAAACCAGCTTCATCTCAACAAATCAACTGCAGTAAATGCCTTCTGTTACTAATGGACGTGTCTTCATCCAATGTTCAAAGTTGAAGGTAGCTATGAAGGATAATTCCTCCATCAAGCTGTGACTCTGCAAACAGAGCCGCTTGCTCGTCCAGGGCCTGCCAATCCGAGAGCATGTTCTTTTCGAATTGCGCTTGACATGATGAGCAGTTCCAAGTGTCCGAGAGCGAACCATCTCCTGAAGTGAGTTGTAGATGTCACACCAAGAGGCACCAACTACACTACAATAATCTGAAGTATGTGGATTTGGTATGATTTGATATGTTTCAAGGCTGAGGTGTCAGAATTTATTGGCCTCATCTGTTCGTTTTTTGGTTGATCTCCATGAGTGCCCCTCACCTGCCGCCAGAAGTCCCGTGCTTTTCCCAGCGCCACCACTTGCAGAATTTCATGATCAAAGCCTTCAGCGTCCGGTTTCGGCTTCGGGGCACACATTCTAATGGATTTCCAACATAACATAGCTATTGAAAATGACCATTTATAGTGGATTTACCCATCAAAAATGGTGATGTTCCATAGTTATGTTAGCTTACCAGAGGGTATCTCAGATATTTTTGTTGTTGCCAAAGAGTGATGAGATCCATTCTATGCCAAGGAAGATGGGTTGAACGGATGCTACCACAAGGTTTCTTGAAACTTTGGAAGAATATCAACTGGGGCTTCTAGTCACCCACCCATGCGATCTGATGCACAGCAGAGACAAGCGGCGATCTTAAGAATGTCCCATGAGCCTGAGCTGCTTTGATCACATGTTGAAACTAATCTGACCCCTTGAAGTGCAAAATTCACCTAAAAGAAATATGGAGTATCCCCACAAATGACTGTCTTAATGGAGAAAATGATGACTAACGACTGGATATATGGGCACACTATGTTCAGGAAAAAAAAACATATCAAATGGTGGGACTTCCTCCTTCCAGTGCATCAATGATACATTTTGGAACGGGGTACCAATCAAAGATAGATGACAAATGAATACAGATGATAGAAAATCATAGAATTCGGTGCAGGGACCCCTTCACGTCTTTACCCAAGGGAAGTTCTTCACTAAATTATGATTACATTTTAAAGTTTCGGAAAAGATCGACCCTTGACACAACTTGCCACAACCAAATGTGGGATATCCTCAAAGTCGTCCCTGCATTACAACAACCTTGACCCCTCAAACCAGCCAGCATAGACGGTCAAGAACGTCTCGTACGTCATGCAGGGTATTTGGACTTTGGCCAACATATCAAAATACAACATGTCTTGCATGTGTTTGATGGTTTTTCATTTTCTCAATCCTGCAAGGAACCCAGATTTGGGGCATGGGCAAGTGATCGTGCATTCATCCTGACGCCACTCAATGAACATACGCGTTTGCAAGTAAAGGGGCCAAAGGGATAGCTGGTCTTCCTCATTCGTCATCTACATGGTCATGTCTTCATATTGCACTGGCACCATCTGGCATCCACTGCTTGGTCAAAGTTCGTGATGAAGATAGTTTATGATAGTTTTGCACCAGAGGACCTTTCCAATTCCAAGATTGACTCTACCTTGTCATAATAAGTCTAGCCTGCATCACATGCCCCATAGTCCACCTTTAGGCGGTTGCTTGATGGAAGATGCTCCTGTCATCCAGCCAGGCAAGCAGCTCTGAAAGCCCAGCTCTTACAATGTCACTTGTAAGAGCTGGGCTTGCAGAGCTGCTTGCCTGGCTGGCACAGATTCTCTGACCCCAGGTGGGCCTGACGGCAGTTCCAAACCATCAGAAACATGAGCCAAAGTGACATTTCCAACCACCATATGACTCAGTTGGCCAAAGTTTCCAAGCTCATGGTGCCCATCCCTGGAAAATACCACAATCATCCACAATCTATGGCACCTATTGAATGGCAAAACTACGCCAAAATCCCTTGCTCTGGGCACATTTTCAAACGAACGTAACGAACCCCAGCTTGGCGCAGGCCTCCACCAGCTGGGGTCGCACGAAATACAGATCTTCGAAGCCATCGTGGTTGCTGATGGCCACGTTCAGAAGCAGTTTGCCATCAGCCACGGGCAGCTGCTCAAAGTAGCTGCGGAGCGGTTCCACGGAGATGCCACGAACCTCGAGGTCCAGTCTGCACCAAGATCTGCTGGGTTTGGGGGTCCAGTGAAATGTCCAACAGGACAATGATGGTCCAATCATGAAACAAGTCCCTCTCAGGTCGAATTCAAAAATAGTGGCCATGACAATGGATAAAAAACCACCAGCTTTCGACGTTTTTTAAAGTTCTTGAACAAAGCAGAAAAAATGCCTATGAAACAAATGATGACCATGGTATCATGGTCCACTGGTTCCACCCGCACCTCAGATCTTCAAATATGCCGATGCAGTAGTGTGTCGAAGTCTGCCGTGCCAATCTCAAGGTAGTGGAAGTGGTGCCTCCTTGAAAGCTCTCAAGGACTCCCAGGCAGGCGGAAATCAGGCGGAAAAATCGTTGAAAGTCAGGGGATGTCAGGGGTATCAAAACTGAGAGGCTGGCATCATCCCACATCCATATCCCACCTGCCCTGAGACTGTTGATTGACATGATGAGACATGTCAAACTCTGTTGGCCAAGGCTCTGGTACTTCCATGGATCCCAGTTTTCCATCTGGCCGAACTGCTAGGATCGTTCTTTGGGCAAGCGCAGGGGCTCCTCCAGTGTGGGAAAATCACCAAAACAATGGTTGGTGAATGGGGATTCCCAATTTATTATGAATTACCTGGGGGATTCCCAACTTATGGATTACGACACCCAATATGAAGGCTAGTATAACTCCTCAGAATCATCAACCAGCTACCTTTCACTGTGCAGCATCGGTAAAACTTCCATGCCCCATGAGACTCCCATGGCATCCTTGGCCATCGCATTGTGGTCTGACAGTACCAAACAAAATCCTGGAAGCCCCGCTGCAGGGCTCCAGCGCAGCGCAAGATGCAAATCATCTCCTCAGGCACTTGGTGATTGTTCATCTGAAGCCAAAAAAAGATGCACACATATGCACACTGTGTATCGCAAGAGAGAGAGAGAGAGGAAAAAAAAACTGATTCCAGGGGTTGGTAACTGTCCCATTTTGGGAATATTGAACATCACCTTATAGTAGCCATTATAGACCATATACCTAATGGTTGGGTGATGTTCAATGGGGACATTTAATGACCCATGTCCCTTGTCAACGGAAAATGATTTACACATACTCTCAGGTCAAGGTGGCTAGTGATTTTTTGTCAGTGTACTCTCACCTCGCTGCAAGAGCTCTATCCAAATCGTTGCGCAGGTCAAGAATGCAGAAAAACGATGAAAAACTCAAAGTTCCATAAAGTTCCATAAAGTTCCATAAAGTTCCATAAAGTTCCATAAAGTTCCATAAAGTTCCATAAAGTTCCATAAAGTTCCATAAAGTTCCATAAAGTTCCATAAAGTTCCATAAAGTTCCATAAAGTTCCATAAAGTTCCATAAAGTTCCATAAAGTTCCAAAGTTCCATTAAAGTTCCATAAAGTTCCCATAAAGTTCCATAAAGTTCCATAAAGTTCCATAAAGTTCCATAAAGTTCCATAAAGTTCCATAAAGTTCCATAAAGTTCCATAAAGTTCCATAAAGTTCCATAAAGTTCCATAAAGTTCCATAAAGTTCCATAAAGTTCCATAAAGTTCCATAAAGTTCCATAAAGTTCCATAAAGTCCCATAAAGTCCCATAAAGTCCCATAAAGTCCCATAAAGTCCCATAAGGTCCCATAAAGTCCCATAAAGTCCCATAAAGTCCCATAAAGTCCCATAAAGTCCCATAAAGTCCCATAAAGTTCCATAAAGTTCCATAAAGTTCCATAAAGTTCCATAAAGTTCCATAAAGTTCCATAAAGTTCCATAAAGTTCCATAAAGTTCCATAAAGTTCCATAAAGTTCCATAAAGTTCCATAAAGTTCCATAAAGTTCCATAAAGTTCCTACTTCAATCCAATCGAGCGTCATCCCTTGTCCATTCCGAACGACTCAAGCTGGAGCGCCGCGCCCCTGGCGACGGCCCCAAAGCTCCAGTGGCACGATGCGACTTGGCACAGAGCCGAAACAGCTGCGATGGGTCAAAACCCGGGTACCCCTGGTGAACCCCAAGTCATAGCTGGGTTAAAATGGATGTGAATAACCCACTAATAGGATGTATCTGGTATTGACCCATAGCCAGTTGTCAAACTCAGTTGTCCTTCTCAATTTTGCCCAGATCCAGGTGAGCATAGCCCAGCCTCCAATGGGTGAGAAGCATCCTCCTGGAGGCAGCCGCGGATGTGAGCCGATGTGATCCAAGTAACTGGACACTGACACAGTCACTGCCATCCACTGCTCGAATAATCCGGCCAAGGCACTGAGTGTCTGCGTCATGAGAGGGGGGAGTGAAGCTGGCGGCAAATTGCTTGGGCTCCTCTCACGACACCAAGGAAACCAGAAAGACATCAAGTTCTGCAAGCTGCTCATGATCAAATGTGACATTGGTGACATGAGGAGACCCCTTTCGAAACCACGAAATATCCATCGAGATTGAGTCCATGTCAAGGCTATTGAAGTGTATTTGGCGAGCCACTGTTCTCAATTTTGCCTGGACCTCAACTTTTTTTGACATTGGAACTGCGAAATGGCTTTGTTTCATACTTGGGTTGGCCATGTTGATGGTGGATACCCCAACATCTCCCCAAATTTGAGGCTTTCTCATCCTTGTCCCAAACTATCAATGGCCATAAACTACACTTCCCCTTGGCATCCTCGAGCTCTGCCCATCATCAAAGCGTCTGAGGGTCCTCAAGGTATTGGTGGGCTGATTTCCATGGAAGTTAACATGAATTGACTGACTATCTAACTAATTAACTAATCTCATCATGGCTCATGGGCTATGTTTGATATATGTTTAACAACAACAAAAAAAAACAAGCCACTGGGGGTCATTGAAGCTACCTGCCAATAGATTCCATGTTCCTGCACGGCCCCCCTCCCCCAACACTTTTCAGCTTTAAGTGATGGTCTCTGGTTGAAGTCCATGACAGGATCGGTTGGACACGCAGTTCTCCGGTCATGTCATGTCTGTTACATCGCTACTTGCAGCTGCTCAACCGCTCGGCGTCAGATTCGTCGCAGCTTTTCCCAGCGATCCCAACCTCAGAGGCTCTGCTATGATCTCCATCATCTCCAACATTCAGTGGTGATGATTGAAAATCAATGGTTAATCATTCATATATTAACCATTAATCATCAAATTAACCATCATTAATCATCTCCAACATCCAGTGAAAATCCATTAAACAAAAAAGAAAGCCGGACTGGGGTTCCAGGCTACGAGCTGCCCTTTTGTCCAGCTTCAGAGAAAGTTTGTCCTTGCGGATTTTCCATGAAGAACGCCTGGGGATCAACTCCCTCCGCGAGTGGCTTCAGCGTCGAGTCGTCGAGTCCAAAAATATCCACGAGGAATGCGGAAGCCAACGGACTTGACTTCCGAACATGTGGTACCCTCTGGTAATTTAACATAGCTATTGAAAATGGCCATTTATAGTGAGTTTTCCCATGAAAAATGGTGATTTTCCATCGTTATGTTAGTTTACCAGAGGGTATGTCTTGTGGTTCTTTGCTTTTAATATCTCTAATCTGGGCTCCGGACTCTGGATTGATCTGTCCCCACAACTCTTGTGCGACGTAGCACCTGGCTACCCACCCAGATGCTTGATTGATAAGCGTTGATACCCAACTGGGAATATCACGCCATTGAGATCTAGGCGGATTTCAGTGGAATTGATTCAAGACTATTCACTTTTGGCATAATCACAGCAACTTCACTGCATCGAATGCACTGCGCATGCCGCCACACCCCACGGTTGGTGGCACCAATTGGTGCCCTGCAAATCAATGATGCGAACCTCGCCACATGGAGAAAAAACAAGAACAACTGGATGTGGGACATTGCCCCGAAGCAGAAACTTCTTTGTGGTGGTCTTGCTTGTCTTGGTCTTTGAACCTATGAAAAATATTGAAAAATAAACATGTCATCACTTTTTTTTATTGCAATCGTCCAGTCATCCAAATCAGAGAATCTGGCGCAAAAGCCCAAGTCATCCCAATTTCTTGCGCACCAAATATGTTCACCCAATATCCGAATCCGAGGACGTCGCCTCCAGGCTGGTCATGGTCATCCATACGCACACCTTGTTGGCCGCGATCTCATGGATGCCAGGCCTCAGCGCTCGCAACCAGCAACCAGCTGCAACCAGGGCTGCGCCAACGGCTGAGGCGCCAACAGGGCCATGTAGACGGAGATGGTGTTTTTATTTTCTTCATCTGCAAACCTTGGGATATCTTGGCCAAGCCAAATTCAAAGCACGGGGTCAGGTTATGTATATATATATATATACATATTATGTATGTATAATATAATATAATATAATATAATACAATACAATACAATACAATATAATATAATATAATATAATATAATATAGTATAATATGATATAATATAATGTAATATAATAATATAATAATATAATAATATAATAATATAATAATATAATAATATAATAATATAATAATATAATAATATAACAATATAATAATATAATAATATAATAATATAATAATATAATATATAATATAATAATATAATATATTATATAATAATATAATATAATAGAATATAATAATATAATATAATATAATATAATATAGTATAGTATAATATAGTATAGTATAATATAATATAATATATATATATATTATATTATGTACATATACATATTGTGCATATATATATATTAGATACACGCATATTATATATATACATATATTAATTATATATATACAGTATATCAATATACTTATTATTATTATTATAATTCTATATTATGATTTATATATATATATTGTATACATACAATTATATACATATGTTTGGGGAAAGGAGGATGTCACAAAAACCTCCGGGGACTTCAAAGCACTCATCATGGATTTGTGGTGATGATGCACTTTGTTTGTTCTTATCTGATGTTTCCTTTCATATTGGGCATCTCTGAATTTCTTTGGGGTAGCCTGCGCAAAATCCCCAAACGTACCGCAAGAAACGAGACGTCGGTGATGTCGCTCCACTTCTCGATGCTCCGTACCCACTCGCGTTGCTCCTCACATCTGAGGTGGGGGGCAGATCCTTCAGAGAGATGCTACAGTAAGTTTTATATAACCGCTGGTAATCAAAGATGGCAATGACAAATCTCCGTCTTTGGTGGGAAATTATGGAAATTCATCTATGTATGGCTATGAATCGGTGATTTTGCATTGCCACATTTGTCGACCGGAGGCTACCACGTTTTGCCCCCGGCAAGCCGTCCTGGTGGGACTCCGCAAGTCTTCCTTCATTCAGGTCCGGCTTCTCATTGTACCTTCAGCGTCTTAATGAGTCAAATCTTATCTGGATATGGGTCAAAGATGTCAAAAACCTGACGGACACCAAAATCGTGTGTGAATCGATGTTCATCCTCCAAAAAGATGGTGTAAGAGGTTAAGATAGACCAGTTTCCCCCGGAATTTCCCCATTGATCCGATTTTCAAATTCCTTCAGGTGCACCTTTAGCCTCCATGATTCACCCGGGCCAGGCTCCCCAGCAACCCGCCGTCCTTCCCCAAGACACTGGCGGTGGCAGCGCAAACCGCCACTTCCGCCTCGTTCATTGGCACCTCGCACTGAAGAGATCATGGATCCACCATGATCTACTCAGACCCCCAATGTAACCAACAAGAAATGGATGTACCTGAAAATGGGATAGCTCCCCCAAAAAAATGCCACTCTAGTAGGGAAAATGACGTGAAACCTGATAAGGCATTGGAATGTTCGGGTACTCTGTGTTCAAACAAATCCAAATGGGTGTATTTCAGCTGCCATGTTGATCTTTCTACCCATTCTTCATAAAGACTTTGAGTCTGAGAGTCATGATGATATAATGATTGATCATGATTAATCATTATATAATCCCATCGCCCTCAGTAAATACACCCCACCAGGAACCGTGGTAGAATATAGCGGTTCCCAAAAATTCCCAAATATGAATTTGTCTCAGAATGGGGTACACCCCATATTGGTTTTGAATCAAAATCCTGTAGCATCTCAGGAACCCCACAGCATCCGCCAACTCCTTTGCCTGTGAATTCTGCAGCCAGTATCTTATGAAACGACACGGGCACACGGGAAACTTGCCAGCTTCAAAAAATTGAGAAATAGAGAAAAGGAAGAAACAAAAGGAACAGTCTCGGGTTTCTGAACTGTTTCGACTTAGTGTCACGCTTAAAAATCGAGACGCCAAACTGTTGACGCCTCCGCAAGCTTCTGTCGAATCTCAGCATTCTGTGGCTCCAGCCTCAAACATCTCCACCAACAATGCAGATTCCACGCCCAGAATTTTGGACCAAATGGAGGTTTCCATAGTCAGGGGTATCCCAAAATAGGTGGTGTATAGATGGTTTATAGTGGAAAATCCAACTAAAATGGATGATTTGGGGTTAACCCAATGACTTAGGAAACCTCCAAATGAAGACAGCAAATCACTGCAGCACTGCCTGGACGCCTTCTGCAAATCCTGGGCTGAAACAGCAAGATGAACATGGTTTCAACATGATCCCTGGTGAGATAGGAAAATGGCTGGGAACTGTTTGTTTTTCAAAAATGGAAGAATGGTTTCATGATATGGAGGGTTCTTAAGTCACGGGGGGTACTCCCGAATCATCCATTTTGATCGGATTTTCCATTATAAGCAATCTATTTTGGGGTACCCCCATGACGATCGAAACCTCCATATGTCATCCATATCCTTCGTCCTGTCCTCCATCGCGGCTCGTGGTTCGCCCAGTTTCAGGCGTGCCAAAGCTCGTCGATAGACCTCAGCTGTCAATGTGATGGTGTTGGTGCCTCTGGTTGGCACACCAAAAAGGAACGAAATAGGCCTTTCCTAAAATAGGGGTACCCCAAATCATCCAGAAATTGTTCATTTTAGATCATTGAAACCTATGGTCTTGGGGTACCCTCATTTTCGGAAACCTCCAAATGATCAGGAATGACTATGGTGATCAGTTTTCACCCTGCAGCCAGACCCCCTGGGCCACAAGGATTGGTGTCATATGTTTCGTATAATGGCTATGAATCAGTTATATATGTTCATCAGTTATATATGTTAATATATTACTAGTTTTGTGGAGTGGTAATAATCAAATCCGGTTGGTCATTGGCAAATTGTAGAGGATCCGGTTGGTCATTGGACACAGCAGTGTTTTTTTCCAGGTTTAACCCATGCATAGGTCTTCTTGGATGCGCCACCTCTCCATTCCAATCTTCCAGGCTATCGCACAGCTTTGCTGTTCGACGCGTCTGCCACCAACGCTGCTGAAGCCCTCTCCTCGTGCTCCAAAGCTAAGCCAAGGTTTTGGCGGAAATTGGTTCAAAACTCATGACTGCCAACAAGCCTTGCTGGCTAGTTTGCAAGAAGTCCCACAAAAATGGATATGAATGGAAATCGCACAGAGATATTTTTTGGGGGTACACTGTAACAGGGTGGTCTCAACATGTTCCAGCTGATACATCCTCCGCCTCTTGGAACTTTGCCAATTTCAGGAAACACAGTGCCTGGCCACAGGATCACGTTGCCAAAAATCAACAGGATTTTTTCTAGGCCAATGTTTTGATCCAAGGGTTTTTTGCCAATGAAACTATAGATACTGTCAGTATGGGCCATCAAGTTTTTTTGGAGAGCATCAACTATCAATGATTCTTGGAGTACTTGCAATACATCTTTGGCGTAATAAGTTGATGAGTTGTGCCAAACTTGGCCAGAGAACATCTCGGCCTGGTTGGAGGCCAGTTGTGAAGACAAGGCGCATTCTACGAAGGCCAGCCTGGGAGGCGTGGCATGTTTCTCACCGTCGGGCTCATGAAAGATCAGCAGTAAATTGGCAAATGAGAAGGGTCAGTATCATCAACATTCCTGAAAATGTGACGCAATGAAAACTAGGATGGGGGATACCAACAACAATAGTCTTGGGTGTATTTACCCAGGTCAGCCAACTATGGGGTAAAACTGCAATAACCGCTAAGCTGCTAGCTCTGTTTTGAACCAACGCTATAGCAGAGTAGATGTAATGTATGGAACATAATGGTTTTACTGCAGGAGTTTTTACACTGGGGAAACTTTAAAAAGAAAACAGAAAAATCAATTTTGGGAATTCTTGGACTGATCCCCGCTTACCAATCATTCATGGCGACCGCATAGTGATCATGGCATCTAGGCTCAACTGACACGCCTCTGAAGGTTCTGCAAGGCCATGGCATAGTTCTCCAAGGCAGCCTGTGACATCAAAGATCAGTTTGGTCAAATCTGCCGGAACCTAGTTGTCCTGAGCTTGACTTTCAATGGGAACCAAACTTTGGCACATTGAGCAAAGCTTGAAAGAACTGAAAGATGCGTGTTGGTTAATCACTTCTTCATCTTCTTCATCAGTTATAGCCATGCCGTTTGTGTTTGAAGAGCATCACCAGAACAACCCTTCAGCCCTCAAAAAGCCCTCGCCTCAAAGGCTCCCTTGCGAAACTCCTCGTTGCCAAGCGCCTGAACCCAAAGTTCCCTACATCATTGCAGACGACCTATGGCCCACACATAAGTCAAAGGGTGCCGAACAGTACCGAACAGTAGCACCACTACAGGTACCAGAATAGGCTATATATCACCATAGCCCCCTATACCAGAAATGTCAGCAGCCCGTTGAACTCTTTTGTGTCTGAGCAACACATTTGCAGCGCGTCTCGGTGGAATTGTTGCAACGGCGGGCTCAACACCTTCATGTTGGGCTCCAACCAAACCACAGGGGGTTGAGACGGACTATGCGCCTCCTGTACGGCACTGTACATGTCAACTCTCCTTCGTGGTAAAAGGACTGTTGACGAAAATGCAACGCAGGACGGAAAACCGGAATGGTCCTGAAACTAGAATCACCCTCGTTTCCATCGAAACTCTATCGTGGCCCCCGTGAATCATATCAGTCACTTCATCTATCGAAGTGATGAAACGGGCGCTTTGACCTTCTTGGTGGGGCGTGGGAATGGTTTCCGCACGCCATTCTTGAAGATCATTGGTTTGTAGCAGTCTGGCACGCCTCAGGCGAAATCCAATGTGGGGCTCCAAGATTTGCAGGGAACAAACAAGCGATTTGATGCTTTCCGTCAAGAATATCATTTGCCCAAAGAATGTTGGACCTCAAACAAAAACACATGGAAAACTCACGACATTTTACTTGACAATCATGGAAAAAAAAGGTCCAGTAAGCTCTACATTCTCCCTTTAGTCAACTTGCCAAGGTACTCTTGTGCATCACAGGACTGTTGCGATACCGCTCTACATGGGCTAGAAATCCCTGGTGTGGACCGCTCCAACCCACCTGGCAGACCTGGGAAAATGCTGAAACTGCTGAAACTGCATTCTGAGTACAACTGTACAACTGACACTGTGTGTGTGCGCGCACAGAAGTATACCCAACTGAAGAGAGAGAGAGAGAGAGTAATAATTGATATACATTATAAGTATATATACATATATATATATGTCATATCACACTTATCTAATACATCTATCATTCTGATACCGTAGCACTCAACTACTCGACCTTTGTTTCTGCCTCCCTGCAGCTTTGGCCGCCTTGGCAGTGGGCAAAGCCCACCGGTCGAAGCCGTTGAAAGTCTTCCACACTTGATCCACTGCCGCGCCATTCCTCGTGCCGGGAGCAATGGCTGTTGTGACCGGCCGGTTACCTAGTTGGCGATCGAGAAACCCTTGAAAAATGTGAAGATGGGATTGATGATGGAAAACTTCACGATGATAATGAAACCACCAACCAGTGGAGCCTCCAACAGAAGAAACTGCCTTGGAAGAGGAACCACCCTAGCCTTCGAGTTTCAGGGGAGGTTAACCACGCGACCATCTCCCAACCAAGCTTCACCAAGTTCACAAACGCGTAGCCCAGGTTGGCATCACGGCAAAAATCCATGGGAAGATACACAAAATCGTAGAGCTCACTGAGGCCCTCTTCGTCCAGCAAGGACAGGAACATGTCGCGGGTGTAGTTGTTGGGCAAGTTGCGCAACATCACCTGCAAATCCCATGGTGAGTTTTGGGTCTGATCAGCCCACCTCAAGTCATTGGGTATATTGGGAATGCGTCAAAGTTGCAGGAAATCTATGGAAATCTTGGTCGATGCTAGTACCTAAAATGACCAAGAAATACCAAAGGATATCGGATAACTGTGTATCCCACATTTTCCAAGTTTGATCCCAAAACCGACTAGGCTTTTTTTTTGAACATACACCAAAATCCCAAAGTTGATCATCATCTGCCGTTTTTGACTCCCAAACACACCCAGGACCCATCTCTGGAAAAATCAAGACACCGTGGTGCGCTGAACTTCTTGGACCTCGCCTTTTGCCTTGGCTTTCGCCTGCAGTTGGACCCAGTTGGACCCAGTTGATGGGAACAAATTCTGGGGAAATCTGGTTCCCGAAAAGCGGAAGGCACTCAGTGGAGGCAAATGAGCTCTTGACTAGATAAACATTACCAGCACGATTTCATGCCATTGTAATTTCTTGATAACTTTTCATGAACATCAAATCATTAAATGTCTTTATATATATTCCAATTTTCGTTGCGCTCATGAAAGCACCCCAAAATCAGAGAAAGCACAGTGGCAGGGTTCCCTTGTGCATTTGCCCACCTGGATCCTTGAAGTCTTGGGCTGAGGCACAGGTGGCTTCTCCTGTGGCTATCCACAGCTGGCTGCTGTCCCAGAGCAGCTGATGGCTCATGAGGTGTTCAGCTACAGGATAGTGAGATAGTCTATCCCAAGTGTCCTACCCTCGGCTACAAGCTGCCGATCAGTCCTGCTCAGGAGGTGTTTGCTGTGCTTTGGGCCGTGTTTTCTCGACATCGTTGCTGAACCTCCCGGGTTCGTACACTTCTGGTACATCCAAGACACCCACCAGAATGCTGTCAGACATCACGCGCCGCAGCTTCCGGTACTGGCGCATCAGGCACTGGTCATCCAAATCCAGGAACGATCCCTTCACAACGACGTTGGCAACTTTGCAAAAAGGGACGTCTTGGATTCATGGGTTTCACACGTAGGCCCTGCTTGGCTTGGGGCAGCAAAGGATTCAAATCTTCTGTGAATCTACAAGAATTCTTGTGAGCTTTCAGATTGCAACAGAAACCTTCATGACCCAAATGATTAAATGGTTCATTTTCAGAATCTTCTGTCATTTTCCCCAAATTTCGAGTTTGCAGGTCCCGAACCTATTTCGCCGTCCATCCCTGCTGTGCGAGCTCTACAAGGGGAGAGGGGGCGTGAAGAGCACGACTCCAGAGTTTCCACGTCGCTGTGGTCGGTGACGTGCGTGCTCTCCTGGCGACCATGGACAAGCTGATCATGGCGGAAGCCCATGGGGTCTCTGAAAAAGCAGGGATACCCTGCAAATTGCCATTTAATTAAAATATAATACATATATATATATATATGTGAATATATATATATATGCGAATATGTATATACAGTGTGTATATATATACCATTTATATATATAATATTATATCATATCATGTTATGTTATATTATATTGTATTATACCATATTATATCATGTTATGTTATATTATGATATATGTTGTATTCTTTGTTGTATTATGTGTTATATTATATGTTATATTATATGTTTTATTAGATATTGTGTTTTATTTTATATTATCTGCTATGTTATACATTATATATATTATATATTATATTAAACTTTAAATATTATATATCATATATTACTGATTAAGTATGATGAATATGTTTTATGTATTACATTATATATAGTATATGTTAAATATTATATATTATATATTATGTATTATATATATATTAAATATCTTTTTGATATATTATATATTATATATTACATATTATATAGTTTATATGATATTATATGTTATATATTATATATTATATCATGTATATATATAATATCATATATATAATATATAATGTGTAATAATAAATATAATATATATCATATATTATATATCATATCTATAATATTATATATATATTATATTGTATACATTATATAATATACATATATATATATATTATATTGTATATATTATATTATATATAGTATTTATTATATATTATATATTATATGTTTTATATTATATATTAATTATGTATTACATACTATATCATGTATTATTATTATTAATTATATATTAAATCATGTATTATGCATTATAGATATCATATATTATGTATTATTTGTTATATCATAGATCATAAATCATTTTATATTATATTATATAAATCTGAATGTACATGTATTATGATTAACCACCATTAGTCACTGAATTTTGGGGTACCCCTAGTGTCAGACAAACCCGTAGTACTTTGGTTCCTTTTACAAAGAAGAATCTAGACTTTTGTTGCCTCTGGTGGCAAAACAAGGGGAAGAGTTTCCGGGAACCCACTCTGATGTCCACATGGAAACTCCGATGTTCAAACTATGCCATGTAGTGTGGAAAGCCCAATAATAAATCTTCAATTTTGGATGGTTTATACTTATACAACACATTTCTGGTGAACTTGGAGATTTAGTATTGGGTTTACCGGTTTACCACATTGTGGCAATGACTTTCCAAAATCTGCAATCAGGGCACGGTGCAGCTGTGCACAGACATGGTCTTGGCAAGGCTCATTTCGAGAAATCGCTCGGAGGTTGGAAGCAGAAAACGACGATGTCGCAGGATACTGCTTGATCTGGAAATGAGCTCTGCGAGGCCAAGGGAAAATCTGGAAACACGATTTGAAAATTCCATGCTACAAATCAAGTTGGGATAATCATTTCAAGTAAACTTCTAGTCTATACCGTCTATACCGTTTGAAACTGAACCAACAAACCACGGAGGCATCACGCTTAAACTTAAAAATCACATCTGGTCGCTCGGTGCTTCAGCTTTGTGGCTGCAGCTCTGTTTCTCTTACGTGCCTAGCATCGCTGGCAGCGCATCAGTCAAATTCATGTGCGCACGACATCTTCATGTCGAGCTGCTACCAAGCCACAAGGGTTGAGAGGAACTGTGCGCCCCCTGTACGGGTTCTGTACATGTTAACACTCCTTCGTGGCAAAGGAGTTGATAACTACATGCTATTACATGCTATAGGAGGACCTTACAGATTTTACAAAGAAAATTGTCCTGCCTGTACGAATTAATTCTCCGAAAATTCTCTGAGCTTTCATCTCGTCAACTTAGTGACCTGAGTGAATCACATTGTTGCACATCCTCTTCCTACCGACATGATGCCACAGGAGCTTTGACTTTCTTGGTTGGGCGAGGGAAAGGCTTGCGAATGCCGTTCTTGAAGATCATGGGCTTGTAACAGTCTGGCACACCTCAGGATCACAACACGTGCGACCAAAAGATGCTGAAAAACAGGTGATATTCAGTCTCCCGCCAAAGACGTAACACACATCTTGATGCCTTAGGTTCTTGGCACCCGGAGGGGCAAAAAAAGCTGGGACCCAAGAAAATGCCAAGGTACTCTTGTGCATAACAGGACTGTTGCGATATCGCTCAACATGGGCTTGAAAGCCTTGATGTGGACCGCTCCAACCCACTTGACATACCTGGCAGAAGTGAGATCAGTCAGTCCTTGTGCGACCTTTCACAACCCCTTTCAGGCAACTTGGGTGGAAAACCAAATTCATTCATAAATCAATTTCAGAAGTCTTGTGAAAACATGTTCATCTGGGGTTCCATCCCTGGGTCATCGAAGATTTTGCAAACTTTGGCCCAACCTTTGCAGTAGGCAAAGCCCATCGGTCGAAGCCATCAAACTTCTTCCATGCTTTGTCCACGGCCGCACCATCCCTCGTGCTGTTTTCATGAAATGCAGAAGATAAAGCAAGAAATAATGGCAGGAGAAGGAATGTGGAATCACAAGAAACGGATAGCCCGATAGTCACAGTATAATCAGTATAAAATGAAATGAACATGGGTCTCGCATGGTCTTGCCTCCAGAAAGCTTCTCTCAAATTGCAGGAACGAATGGACAAGCAAATGGACTGTAACCATATCAGATTCATGATACTACGTCAAGTCCAGCTTGTTCACCCAGTCTTCAAATTCGTATTTCCAGATGGCGACCCCAACCATGAACCAACCCTGAACCAACCCACCATCTCCGAACCAAGCTTCACCAAGTTCACAAATGCATAGCCCAGGTTGGCATCACGGCAGAAGTCCATGGGAAGATACACGAAATCATAGAGCTCACTGAGGCCCTCTTCGTCCAGCAGGGACAGGAACATGTCGCGGGTGTAGTTGTTGGGCAAGTTGCGCAACATCACCTCAAGGAGTCTCAAGATGGAGTTGCGCGCAGAAAATTGTGGGTGTTTGTGCGTTGTACATCGTTGTACTATGTCCTCATATCAGCTCCGTTCGGTTCATGTATAATATATAGTATAATATAATATAATATAATATAATATAATAATATAATAATATAATATAATATAATATAATAATATTTAATATATAATTATACATTATTATTCTATGTCTTCTTTCATCTTCTTTCCAAGTCGGACCATCAAGTCTCAAGCGTGCACAAAACTATTCCAGTTTATTCGAGGCACCGTGGTACGTTGGACTTTGCGGCAGGACTCCTCATCTTTCGCAGCCTTGCCTGTCACCTGTGACGGGCATCGTCTCAGAAAATTGCAAAGTCATCAGGAAAAAAGAAGAAGATCTCACTTTCATTAGCCTAATTAGCCTCGTCACATCTCATCACCCTCTCTCTGCGCTGTTACAAATGTAATCCCACTTTCAGTAACCCTCTTGGCCCCTCTGTAAGCTGTGGCACACGCACACACAATACAAGTAGGGTCGGATGCTTTCTCATGCTTTGTCCATTATGTAACGGATCAGCGTTGATGCACCTGGCTCCTTGATGTCTTCGGCTGAGTAGCAGCGGGTGTCTTCTCCTGCGTTTCTCCGGCAGGAATCTGACTGTTACAAATCGAACACAAAGCTGCAAAAACAACGTGGGGAAGAAAGGATAATGGAAGCTGATGGAAACTGCACGTAACTGCACCGTAACTGCACGCAACTGCATGTCGCCTGCTCAGGAGGTGTTTGCTGTGCTTTGGGCCGTGCTTTCTCGACATCGTTGCTGAACCTCCCGGGTTCGTACACTTCTGGTACATCCAAGACACCCACCAGAATGCTGTCAGACATCACGCGCCGCAGCTTCCGGTACTGGCGCATCAGGCACTGGTCATCCAAATCCAGGAACGATCCCTTCACAACGACGTTGGCACCTCCGCAGCAGGCTAGGCTTTCACAAGTCACAAGTTTCTGTCAACTCCCCACATAGAAAGGCCTGCTTGGGCCATCTTGGGCCCTAAGAATTCTTTCGTTTCTGAATTGTGCCGAAGACTGTTGAAAAAATTAAACTTAGTGGGTGAGTAGGTGCCGAGCCTGTTTCGCCTTCCATTTCTGCTGTGCAAGTTTGGCAAGGGGAGAGGGGGCGTGAGGAGCACGACTCCAGAGTTTCCACGTCGCTGTGGTCGGTGACGCATGTGCTCTCCTGGCGTAAGATGAATGTTTTTGGGACAAGCGTTGACAAACGTCCTATTTTGGGGATCTGGCATTTCCCAGCAAGCGCTTACTTGAACCTGCTGGAACCGGTCACAACTGTGCTTGATAGCCTGCCAATCATTCAGTCAAGTAGATTAGATAAAACATTCTTCGATCTCCACCTGCTCACTTCACGCCAAAGAATCACATCCATGACCAGACAGTTTGTTTCGAAGACTTCTCCAAAGAAATTGTTGTTCAGGTTGCTTTAGCATTTGCCGTAGCAGACACCTTTCCCATCATTGTCCCACGTCTGCCAGGGCACTGTGTTGCTGTGCACGGACATGGACTTGGCAAGAGACTGAGGGCTCATGGCGAGAAAATGGATCGGAGACAGACAAAGCAGACCCGGGACCCAGTGGTACCGTTTGCGCGCACTTACGACGTCGCACAATGCTGCTTGATCTGAAGATGAGCTCTTGAAGGGAAAGAAAAGATTTAAATGCCTCGAGGTTTTCAAGGGAAATTCCGTGTTACTTTTTGGTTCGCAAAACTGGTCCCACTTGCTACAAGATATCTTGCAGGCATCATCACAAGACTTGGTTTTACTTTTCAACGAACCCTTTGGCATCACGTCCCGTCGCTCGTCGTTTCAGCTTGGCAGCTCTGTTTCTCTTGCGTGCTCTAGCGTTGCTGGCAGCACGTCAGTCAAATTCGTGTGCGCGCGACATCTTCATGTCGAGCTGCTATCAAGCCACATGGGTTGAGACGCACTGTGCGCCCCCTGTACGGATCTATACATGTTAACCCTCCTTCGTGGCAAAGGAGTTGATAACTACATGCTATTACATGCTATAGGAGGACCTTACAGATTTTACAAAGAAAATTGTCCTGCCTGTACGAATTAATTCTCCGAAAATTCTCTGAGCTTTCATCTCGTCAACTTAGTGACCTGAGTGAATCACATTGTTGCACATCCTCTTCCTACCGACATGATGCCGCAGGAGCTTTGACTTTCTTGGTTGGGCGAGGGAAAGGCTTGCGAATGCCGTTCTTGAAGATCATGGGCTTGTAACAGTCTGGCACACCTCAGGATCACAACACGTGCGACCAAAAGATGCTGAAAAACAGGTGATATTCAGTCTCCCACCAGAGACGTAACACACATCTTGATGCCTTAGGCTCTTGGCACCTGGGAGGGTAAAACAAAAATCTGGGACCCAAGAAAATGCCAAGGTACTCTTGTGCATAACAGGACTGTTGCGATATCGCTCAACATGGGCTTGAAAGCCTTGATGTGGACCGCTCCAACCCACTTGACATACCTGGCAGAAGTGAGATCAGTCAGTCCTTGTGCGACCTTTCACAACCCCTTTCAGGCAACTTGGGTGGAAAACCAAATTCATTCATAAATCAATTTCAGAAGTCTTGTGAAAACATGTTCATCTGGGGTTCCATCCCTGGGTCATCGAAGATTTTGCAAACTTTGGCCCAACCTTTGCAGTAGGCAAAGCCCATCGGTCGAAGCCATCAAACTTCTTCCATGCTTTGCCCACGGCCGCACCATCCCTCGTGCTGTTTTCATGAAATGCAGAAGATAAAGCAAGAAATAATGGCAGGAGAAGGAATGTGGAATCACAAGAAACGGATAGTCCGATAGTCACAGTATAATCAGTATAAAATAATGAAATGAACATGGGTCTCGCATGGTCTTGCCTCCAGAAAGCTTCTCTCAAATTGCAGGAACGAATCGACAAGCAAATAAACTATAACCATATCAGATTCATGATACTACGTCAAGTCCACTTGTTCACCCAGTCTTCAAATCGTATTTCCAGATGGCGACCCATGAACCAACCCTGAACCAACCCACCATCTCCGAACCAAGCTTCACCAAGTTCACAAATGCATAGCCCAGGTTGGCATCACGGCAGAAGTCCATGGGAAGATACACGAAATCATAGAGCTCACTGAGGCCCTCTTCGTCCAGCAAGGACAGGAACATGTCGCGGGTGTAGTTGTTGGGCAAGTTGCGCAACATCACCTCAAGAAGTCTCAAGATGGAGCTGCGCGCAGAAAATTGTGGGTGTTTGTGCGTTGTACATCGTTGTACTATGTCCTCAGATCAGCTCCGTTCGGTTCATGTATAATATATATATAATATATAATTCAATATATAATTATACATATTCTCTGTCTTCTTTCACCAAACAAAGGGCTCCAGCGACATGAATATCAAGCGGTTGGAAAACTCAAACTTAGTGCTCCAACTTCATCTTCTTTCCAAGTCGGACCATCAAGTCTCAAGCGTGCACACAAACTATTCCAGTATATTCGAGGCACCGTGGTACGTTGGACTTTGCGGCAGGACTCCTCATCTTTCGCAGCCTTGCCTGTCACCTGTGACGGGCATCGTCTCAGAAAATTGCAAAGTCATCAGGAAAAAAGAAGAAGATCTCACTTTCATTAGCCTAATTAGCCTCATCACATCTCATCACCCTCTCTGTGGGCTGTTACAAATGCAATCTCGCTTTCAGCAACCCTCTTGGCCACTCTGTAAGCTGTGGCACACGCACACACAATACAAGTAGGGTCGGATGCTTTCTCATGCTTTGTCCATTATGTAACGGATCAGCGTTGATGACCTGGCTCCTTGATGTCTTCGGCTGAGTAGCAGCGGGTGTCTTCTCCTGCGTTTCTCCGGCAGGAATCTGACTGTTACAAATCGAACACAAAGCTGCAAAAACAACGTGGGGAAGAAAGGATAATGGAAGCTGATGGAAACTGCACGTAACTGCACCGTAACTGCACCGTAACTGCACGCAACTGCATGTCGCCTGCTCAGGAGGTGTTTGCTGTGCTTTGGGCCGTGCTTTCTCGACATCGTTGCTGAACCTCCCGGGTTCGTACACTTCTGGTACATCCAAGACACCCACCAGAATGCTGTCAGACATCACGCGCCGCAGCTTCCGGTACTGGCGCATCAGGCACTGGTCATCCAAATCCAGGAACGATCCCTTCACAACGACGTTGGCACCTCCGCAGCAGGCTAGGCTTTCACAAGTCACAAGTTTCTGTCAACTCCCCACATAGAAAAGCCTGCTTGGGCCATCTTGGGCCCTAAGAATTCTTTCGTTTCCGAATTGTGCCGAAGACTGTTGAAAAAATTAAACTTAGTGGGTGAGTAGGTGCCGAGCCTGTTTCGCCTTCCATTTCTGCTGTGCAAGTTTGGCAAGGGGAGAGGGGGCGTGAGGAGCACGACTCCAGAGTTTCCACGTCGCTGTGGTCGGTGACGCATGTGCTCTCCTGGCGTAAGATGAATGTTTTTGGGACAAGCGTTGACAAACGTCCTATTTTGGGGATCTGGCATTTCCCAGCAAGCGCTTACTTGAACCTGCTGGAACTGGTCACAACTGTGCTTGATAGCCTGCCAATCATTCAGTCAAGTAGATTAGATAAAACATTCTTCGATCTCCACCTGCTCACTTCACGCCGAAGAATCACATCCATGACCAGACACTTTGTTTTGAAGACTTCTCCAAAGAAATTGTTGTTCAGGTTGCTTTAGCATTCGCCGTAGCAGACACCTTTCCCATTATTGTCCCACGTCTGCCAGGGTACTGTGTTGCTGTGCACGGACATGGACTTGGCAAGAGACTGAGGGCTCATGGCGAGAAAATGGATCGGAGACAGATAAAGCAGACCCGGGACCCAGTGGTACCGTTTGCGCGCACTTACGACGTCGCACAATGCTGCTTGATCTGAAGATGAGCTCTTGAAGGGAAAGAAAAGATTTAAATGCCTCGAGGTTTTCAAGGGAAATTCCGTGTTACTTTTTGGTTCGCAAAACTGGTTCCACTTGCTACAAGATATCTTGCAGGCATCATCACAAGACTTGGTTTTACTTTTCAACGAACCCTTTGGCATCACGTCCCGTCGCTCGTCGTTTCAGCTTGGCAGCTCTGTTTCTCTTGCGTGCTCTAGCGTTGCTGGCAGCACGTCAGTCAAATTCGTGTGCGCGCGACATCTTCATGTCGAGCTGCTATCAAGCCACATGGGTTGAGACGCACTGTGCGCCCCCTGTACGGATCTATACATGTTAACCCTCCTTCGTGGCAAAGGAGTTGATAACTACATGCTATTACATGCTATAGGAGGACCTTACAGATTTTACAAAGAAAATTGTCCTGCCTGTACGAATTAATTCTCCGAAAATTCTCTGAGCTTTCATCTCGTCAACTTAGTGACCTGAGTGAATCACATTGTTGCACATCCTCTTCCTACCGACATGATGCCGCAGGAGCTTTGACTTTCTTGGTTGGGCGAGGGAAAGGCTTGCGAATGCCGTTCTTGAAGATCATGGGCTTGTAACAGTCTGGCACACCTCAGGATCACAACACGTGCGACCAAAAGATGCTGAAAAACAGGTGATATTCAGTCTCCCACCAGAGACGTAACACACATCTTGATGCCTTAGGCTCTTGGCACCTGGGAGGGTAAAACAAAAATCTGGGACCCAAGAAAATGCCAAGGTACTCTTGTGCATAACAGGACTGTTGCGATATCGCTCAACATGGGCTTGAAAGCCTTGATGTGGACCGCTCCAACCCACTTGACATACCTGGCAGAAGTGAGATCAGTCAGTCCTTGTGCGACCTTTCACAACCCCTTTCAGGCAACTTGGGTGGAAAACCAAATTCATTCATAAATCAATTTCAGAAGTCTTGTGAAAACATGTTCATCTGGGGTTCCATCCCTGGGTCATCGAAGATTTTGCAAACTTTGGCCCAACCTTTGCAGTAGGCAAAGCCCATCGGTCGAAGCCATCAAACTTCTTCCATGCTTTGTCCACGGCCGCACCATCCCTCGTGCTGTTTTCATGAAATGCAGAAGATAAAGCAAGAAATAATGGCAGGAGAAGGAATGTGGAATCACAAGAAACGGATAGTCCGATAGTCACAGTATAATCAGTATAAAATAATGAAATGAACATGGGTCTCGCATGGTCTTGCCTCCAGAAAGCTTCTCTCAAATTGCAGGAACGAATCGACAAGCAAATAAACTATAACCATATCAGATTCATGATACTACGTCAAGTCCACCTTGTTCACCCAGTCTTCAAATCGTATTTCCAGATGGCGACCCATGAACCAGTTGAAACACATGCCACATCTGTCCCTCCTAACAAACACCTGTCTGTCCAAAGCAGCATGCTTTCCCTTTTGCTCAGCACTGCATCGTCGGAAGTTCGCGGAGGGTTCCATGGCAATTGAATTGGCACTGGTTGATCGGAACGATCTGCCTAAAAGGTGGTTGTAGAGACATGTCCTTGAGTGACAAAGGGCGGCAAGAAGTTGATACCTGACAGGAGGTCACAAGGGCATGTACCATTCGACTCAGGTTGGCTTGTCACTGCAGATTTTCTGCTGCGTTGTTGATTTCATCCAGCTTGAAGTTGGCAACATATCAAGTCTTGGACTTGGTCCTTGCTTCAACGTGCTGTTTGAACTCGTGCAAGATCTTCCACTGACCATGCACACAAGCGTTCCTGATTGGATCACGTGCCACACTTCCTTTATTCAATCCATCGCTCAGCATATCAAGCGTATCTATCCAGCAAAGGCGGCTGGCGACGCGCATAGCAAGGATCTCTTTTAGTTTAAGAGCATGCACAAGCATCAACTTATCTGTAGTGGTCTTGGTGTCTGTTGCAACTATGCAATCGAACACTGCTCGTGCATCCAAGAAAAGATCACTTTCTAACGCATTGGTTCCAGTCTCTTGGATATCAGCCATCATGCTAGCTGATTTGCTACCGGTCAGAACTTCTGTCATAGCAAGGTTGATCGTATTGGCAAGGGCAACCAAATCAAGAGCCGCATAAAGTTCAGCTGTGAAAGTACTGCGGCAAACTCTGCTTTGTTTCTTTGAAACAAACTCCAAGATTTGGATCGGATTGTTTCCGATCTTGGGACCATCTTTATCACCTAAGGCTATGATTCCACTTCTCATGGCGAGACCATCATTCTCTTCAGCTTTGAAACTACTATCAGATATAACATACATCCTCCATGGATTGTTCACCTTATGATAGTACAACTTCATTGGCTTTCGTTTCAAATACGCAAGCACACGATTTAAATTGGCAACATCACGGCCAGTGGGTGATTGGAGCTTGCGCTGAAGAGCAGCTGTGAACACAGCTATGTCTGGTCTGGTCTGAACTGTCCAGGCTATTCCACCAAGAAGTGACATGAACTGACTTTTGAGATCATCATTAACTGGTTCATCCTTTGGGCTGTTTGTTTCAGCTATGAAGCGAAGTTCATTCACATAGTGTTCTTGGCTAACACTACGTGAACCATTTGGTTCAAGGACATGACGGAGTCCAAGGTGCTCAAAGTTGTCTTTTTCTACCTTAAGTTCATCAAAGTGTTCTGTCAAAACTTTAAGCACTAGGTTCAGCTGATCTTCTTCGCCTGTCATTTTCAAGTCATCGACATGAACTGAAAGAACGAGAACAAGGCGTTCTCCTGAGTGTTTGACAAACAACTGTCTGTCTGTTTGTACTGCCTTCAAACCACACTTATCAAGAACCTTTTGGAGGGCTAGGTTCCAGAGACGTGGCGCGTCCTTCAGTCCAAAACTTGGTTTTAAAAGCGAAAGGCATTCACTGGTCGGATCATAGTTCTCCATTCCAGGAAACGTTCGGAGAAGCTCTTCTGATCCTACTGGCAAAGCTATCTCCACAACACGGAGAGGTTGTGAAGTATCCATTTGGGCCAGCTCTTGGAAAGTGATGCCGCGAAGAAAGGCTTCGCTGACGTCTGCTGAAATCAAAGGCCACCCAAACTGGGTTGATATGGCTAAAACAATCCTCTGTCCCCAACGTGAAGTGGTTCCTGCAAACGTGCTCAGGCTCTGTCGGTCTTGGAAACCCTGAGCTACAAGACGACCCTTCACATCTTTCTTTCCTGCAATGTTCTTCCATTTCAAGACCCATTTAGATTTTAAAAGATTGCGGCTGTTGGAAAGTGACATTCGGCGCCATGCGTTGTGCTTGATCCAACGATTCAATTCCTTCAGCATGGCAGCTCGACAGGCTTCAACATTTTCCAAAGCTTCACTACGGGTTAAGACATTATGGGTCCTTTCAATTACAGGAACATTGGGACTAACATTATTGGGATTACTGTGGTATTGGAAAACTGGATAGTCGAGCCCAGCTTCATCGAGTGCAACGCTGGGTGTAACAAGATACTGGGACACCTTTCTATCCAATCCTAGTTCGGCTGGTTGGTCATCATCAGCACACGCAAAGATTTCTTCGTTGTGGTGGTTGCAACATGGCCAGATTGGTGGACTGGCTGCACAAGTCCAACCTACATGGACCTACATGGATGTCTGGATCTGCGTTTTCACCTTCATCTGGCAACAAGTCAATTTCTGAACCATCAAGGCTTTGGGATGTTGGAACAACATCTGGATTAGTTGATGGCTCATTTTGTGTCGAAGAAACATTGACATCAGGCTGCTGCTCATTCGGATTATCTACTTCGGGTTTATCTGTTAAGGACTTAAACTTAGGTCTATTGGTCTTGGGATTAAATAGGGGAACTTCGCGGATCAGTGGCATGCGAGGCTCATACACGCCGCCGATATTTGCGATGTCAGAATTAATCTTTCTTAAGTGCGAAATGGCAACGCCATCCTCCATTAGGAATTGGATGAATGCGACATTTTCACTACCACCTAAGTTGTGCAAGTTTATGGTTTTACTTCCATCAGTGAAAGCGTGGCACCAGTTGTGGAATTCACCGGGCTTCCACCAGCATACAAGTGTTTCATCGCAATAGAGACCTGAGATGGTCTTCATGCCATGGCCGAATCGCAAGCTAAAAACACCTATGAGTTGCAAATTGACAGCTCCAACGTGAAGTCCTGCATGTAAGACTTCAGAGTACTCTTTGTTGCCCTCACATGGCAACCATCGATCATTCTTACGGAACCATCCAACTCTCATGCAACCCTTGAAAGATTCTGCAGCAACTTTCAACACTTCAATTGGTGAATTGGCACCACCAAAGAATGCAGGTGCATATGCGAATGCCAAGGCTCTGCGTGCATCTTGTACGCGGACTTGAAGATTTCTGCCCTGCCACCTCACACCGATGATTCCATCAGTGAGTGCGGTCAAATCGGTTATGGATGCAGGGCCGTGCCAACGGGGCACGTCTTTGGAAATGGTTGGGCGATAAATATCCACAAGATCACCAACTTGCATGTCCTTCAACTCTCCAGCTGGTCTGGATTTCGTGGCATTTGCTCTGCGGATGCGATCCTCGGCTGAGGCTTGGATCATGGCTTGCACGGCTATGGATCGGAGTCGGGCGGGATGTTCCCGCTCCTGATCATCTTCTGCAGTCATTACATCGAGCATTGGTGGAGTACGGCCGAACAAAGCCTCGTAAGGAGAGTATCCTCCGTACTGCAGCAACACATTCTTGGAAAACACAGCTTCATTAAGAACTTGGGTAAATGAAACACGAAGTCCATCCCTAGTAGCTTGTTGATCCATCAGGTGAGTTTGACGTCTAAGGATTTCATTGTGTCTTTCTACCACTGGAGCATGTTGGCTTTTAGCCTTTAAATGAAGCTTAATATTCAATTGTTCAAGCACTGCTGCAGCCACTTCATTAAGTCCACCTTCTTGATCGGATATCAATTCTGCAGGAGATCCATATTGATTGATCCATCCATCACGAATACCATTCAGGATTGAGGGTGTTGTTCGGTCAGGGATTTCAACACCAACACTCCAGCGAATGCATCGGTCAATCATGTGCAAGATTACATGAGTACCAACAAACAGCAAGTCAAGTTCGACTTCAAGGTTAAAACGTTCAGGCAGTCTCGTGGAAGTGACTGATCTGTTCCCAGGGCGACTCCAGTTGCGACAAATATCACATGTGGCAACGACATCTGCAACTTGAGCAACAACTTCAACAGGTACACCTGCAGCGGTGAGCAGAGTGCTCATGCGTCTTGCAGGGGCATGGTACCAACGGATGTGCAACTTACGAAGTGCCCTACGAACTACTCCAGGTCTGGATGACCTCAAGAGCTGCAATGATGTTCCAAGATCGAACCTCGACCACACTGGTTCTTCAAGAACAGGTTGGATCGCTTCAGCATCGGCTGCATTGGGAGCAACTGGTCCTCCATCTTCAATGGCTAAGGGCTGTGCTGCACGTTCGACAAGGTCAGGATCTGAACCGGCCTGAACTTCTGCACTGGCTTTCATGCGGCGTCTGGCTGACGCTTCTGCAGGAGTCAAAACTTCAGGTTCTATGCTATCATGTCCTACTGCTCCTTCGGCTGGAGCTGCTTCTTCACGCAATCGAACTGCAGCTGTTGGATCTCTGGCAGCTGGAACACTGCCATCTCTTGGGTGGCGTCCTCTTCGGGCTCGAGGACCACCATCATCTCTAGTTCTGGCAATTGCCCATCTGCAGTCTGGGCCAAGTGTGTGAGATGGATCGGATCGATGTCTATTGCGGCGACATCCATCACAAGTCCATTCCATCGCAGGCTCATCTTTGAAGCGACAGTTCTCGTCGCGTGTGTGTGTAGTATCGTCTCTGCGAACATGACCTCTGCAGCCTGGGCAAGTGAAAGTTGGAAATTGCAAAGTGGCTTGGCTGCTGTCAAAAGAACTACACAACAAATCGGCAATGCCTCTGGCAAGGCTTCGGCACAAACTGATAGGCCAGTTTTCGGCACTTGATTTGACCTTTCCATGTTCATGGTTATCAAGGCAAAATCTGTTGGCAACATGTGCAAGAAGGATTGGACTTGAGGCAATGAATTTTGTTGGCTTCTTAAGATGTGTTCCATCAGGGTTCTTCAGGCCAAACCTACATTGGTCGCAAACAGCTACATGAGCGATCTTTGCAAGTTCCTTCCAGGATGGAAGTTGAAACATGAGGCTTGTACGGGGCTGCTCAATTATAAAGTGATTACCACAACTTAACTGGAATTCAGCAACTTCAGCACAAAGAGTTGCAAGTTGTACACCGTCACGTCGAGCGGCCCTCACTGCTTCGGCATTGATTATTCTGTTGAGGTGAATCCATGGTCCAAAACCTTTACATGGAGGCGCCATCACAACAACATCTGGCTTGAACTTGTTAAGATATGCAAACAAATCTTGGCGGCCAACACCTGTATTGAGGTCAACACCATTCTTAAGTTCAAAGTTGAAACCGCTATTCAAACCATAAAGTTTGGAACAAAGAGTTGATGTCAGTCCTTCTCCTCCGAACAGCTCGCACACATGGATGTGCTTTGGATTATCAGTCAAGAAAGCTTCTATCCGTCGAGACATGTCAGGCAAGTTATCAGCATTTGGAATTGCATCTGGATCATCGCATGATTGGAAGGCGAAAGCAAACACTGCATGTTCCCATGATGCCAAGTTATGTTCTTGCTGCAACTTACGGGTGAAGTGTTCTACTTCATGCTGTTCGACTTGAAGACTGGACAAATCATCACCTACATCGTCAAAGTGTTGTTCAACATGCTGTTTTCGTTTCTTAACATCTATCCCTGCCTTCTTTCGCTCCTTCTGGCGTGTTGCCTGTTCAGTGGGATAGGACAAAACAGCATCTGAGGATGACGGTTCATCGGCACCTTGAAATGACACACTTCTGGATGAAGTGGGCATGTTGGACATGTTTGGATTCACATTGGACTGCGGCACATTGGATTGATTGGCATTGGCTCTAACAGAGGTTCTAAATGTTGTAGATTTTGGGTTAGAGGATTCAACTGTCGAAGTGGATAAGGTCTTATCTGTAATAGATATTGTATTATGGGTTACTGCACTATTGGAGGTTCTAACATCTTTGGATGACTTTGTTGAAACTGGCAAACCTGAAAGCAGGGCACTGCTGCGTGTCGGGTTGACACCATCTTCATGAGTTAAAGGCTTCGACTCAGGTTGCTTGTCGAATGCGTTGTTGATATGTTGAGCGACATCTCTTATGATATGGGTGAGAACAACAGCTTCCACATCGGATGCATTAGGCAGCGACTTCACGCTGACATGTTTCCTACCAGTCCGGCACTGACATTCTGCACAAGATGTCAGTTCTGCATTAGACCAAATTCTAGTGGTTGCACTGCAGGCATTTTCTTCTACGGGTTGATACCTGCACCACACATGCAAAGTTTCATGCATACCAAGCTCTCTAAGTTCACGGAACGGTCTCAAGTTCCATCCGCCAGACCTTAAGTTACCTTCAACAATGACCATGCGGTGATTGGCCATCTGTTGCAAAACTAATCTGACAAGGAAAGCGGCTCGGTTTTCATCTCTTTTATTCCCACTTCCGCAGGAAGGTCCGGATAGGCGAACCCACAACAAACGAGGCTTACTGGCTGCAAGCTGTTCTGACAGTTGATTAAACTTACCTTTGGAGTGCAAATCATGGAAAACTGCAACAACTGGACCTAGCTGTTGCACTTGCAGCAAACGTTGTCGGAGGCCTGACACATCAGAGATGACCCATGCACCATACTCAGCCAAGTCCACATCAGAACCTGACTTCACATTCTGCGCATTGACACTCACATGCACTGCTTGGCTAATTCCAGTCCTAAGTGGCTTCAAGCTGTTTATTTGTGTTTTGGGGTTTTGTGCTTGAGCCACACATGCAACGACATCGGCAGTGTTTTGCAGTCAGGGATTCGGCTCTGCCCTGACAGGTGGTGGTCCAGAAGGCTCAGGCGGTGCGGCACTTCGTCCTGCTCTTGGTGGTTCAGGCGGTGCAGAATTTCTTCCTGTTCTCGGTGTCCTGGAGGCCTCAGACGACCTGACACCATGCACATCGGACAAACGTCGTGTCTGCTGAGAATTGATGGGCTGACTTGGCTCTTGGACACCTGTGAGGATGCGACAACCATCCTTTTGATATGGACCTCTGGTTGCATGAACAGGAGTGCGTGTTGGCGATGGCGTTCTGGCTGCACGACAGTGAGTGTTGAAATTCAACTTGTGTTCTTCCATCGTCCTGCGGTCACTGCGAACAGTCCTGTAGTCCACAGGGTCCATCGGCGGTCTCATTGGCAGAATGAGATGACCTGATTCACTGTCTTCCAACTGCAAAACCAAAGTACCTGGGCTCACTCTGAACTCAACACCTCCTTCACCCGGCAAGATCAGGAGTCTTCCATGCGTATCCAGGATGGCACGCTTGGCACGAAGAGATTTCAGTCCAAGCAACATCGGCAGCTGGCTGTTGGGAATCACAGGAGCGGTGTATGTGCAACCCAACTCTGGCGCACTGTCATGACCATCGACCAACATTCCTAAATCGAAATCGACAGACACTGCAGTTGTGGCACACTGGGCGCTCTTGCCTACCCCACTGACATGAAGTGGTTCATCCAGCAGCTTCTTGCGGGCATGCGTTCTGAGCTGTTGCTCGATGGCTTCGATTGTCTCAGAACCTGCAAGATTATCGTGAGCGCCGGGTCGACTAATAGGCCTGATCTACCGTCTGGAGTGCACGTTCTCATTGAGTGGTATGTGGGACGTCCTTGGTTTATATTGGGATTATCTTCTCGGACCATCTCGCACCACGGGAATGCACTGCTACTTTCCGGATCAGGTTGTGAACCAGGCATGTTCGACAAAAGCTGCGACAACTGCAAAGTGGTTGCTGATCTGATTTCTTTCTGCTTCTGCTTGGTTGGTCGTGTTGGGCGGCTCGGAGACTCAGCATCCTGTGCATCATCGGCTGTGATGGCTTGACTTGGAGATGACCTGGAAGACTCAAGACCAGACAACAAGGCTTCGGTGGACGACATCCTGGGCTGTGCTGGGGCAGAACTGCTACTTGATAAACTGCCAACCATGAAAGATGTCCATTCAGCTACGGGTTGATTCACAACAACGGCTGCTTTCATCTGCAACTGCTGTGCTGTTGGAGCCGGCTCAGTTGGTGGTGGAAAACGCGGCTCAGGGTTATCTGCATATTCATCCCTCTTATCTTCAACAGCTGTGTCAACCCTACGCTTGTTGTTGCTACTGGCACTCCTCAGAGATTCCAAATCATCAAAGAAACTACGCTTGGATGATGGGGCACTGGAATGAATTGATTCGGCTTCAAAAGTTCGGGAGACCAACTCACCTGTTTGCATGCGCATGGTTGTGAACACATGGGAGGCACCAACATCGGATGACGGACGGC